CACCACTGCTGCATTATACACTACCATGGGAGTGTAAACTGCTGTAGTTGTCTATGGACAGCAATATTGGCAAACTCATGGAAAGCTATGGTGTAATCCTCAGCACCACATAAAAATAATACACCTAACAATATAGGGATTCTCCCCTATACATAGCTCTTAGAGAAACTATAATCACAGTGTATTATTTACCTATTGTGTACAAACAAATTACTCAAAACTGAGGGGTTTATAACAACAGCAAACATTTATTATCTCATGGTTTCTGTGGGTCATGAATTCAGGAATCGCTTAGCTGTGAAATTCTGGCTCATCAGGGTCTCTCAAGTTGCAGTCAAGATGTTGGTTGGGAGCCGGGCGTGGTGGCGCACACCTGTAATCTCAGTGCCTCAGAAGGCTGAGGCAGAAGATGGTGAGTTCAAAGTAAAAGTGAGGTACTAAGCAACTAAGTGAGACCTTGTCCATAAAATACAAAATACAGTTGGGGATGAGGTTCAGTGGTTGAGTGCCCCTGAGTTCAATCCCTAGTACTAACTGCCCTCCGGTCTCCACAAAAGGATGCTGGTTGGGGCTTCAGTCATATTTGAYTTGGGTTGAAGATCACTTCTAAGATGCATCAGTCACATGGCTAGCAAAGCTGGTGCTAGTGACTGGCTATTCCAAAGGGCTGCTAGAATGTCCTCATAATATAGTGGTTGGCTTTACCCAGAGCAATTGATCCAAGGGAACATGGTAGAATGAACAAATGTATTTTATGTCTAGGATTTGCATGCCATCACTGCCAGATGTAGTCAAAGAGACTAACCCTGATACAATATGAAACATGAAACTAGAAGGCTAGGAATGTTTGGGGTTGTCTTGGAAACTGGCTTCCATATCCAAGGTTATGTGTTACAACAGTCAGTCATGCCAGTAATATAGCAGTGACACACGGTTGCAGACAATTTAGATTTTTGTTCGTAGTGAAATTTGTAAGTAAACTGTGATACTAACTGTGAGAATAACTTGCAGGAATCAAAAGTAACATTTTTTTTCAATTCAAAAGAAATACACAATAAAAAACAGTAAGATTTACAGCATAATTCAACTCCCACGTTTTAAAAACCACTATCTATATATACACAAGTGCGCGTGAGGGCTCATGCATACACATACACATATTCCCATATACATATTTAAAGACATATATGGCTAAATATATACATAAAAGGTCGGCTGGAAAAACATATTAAGGATGGTTATATATGGGGGGGGCTGGGGTTGTGGCTCAGTGGTAGAGCGCTTGCCTCGAACGCGCGAGACCCTATGGTGTAATCCTCAGCACCACATAAAAATAAATGAATAAAATAAAGGTATTGTGTCCAACTACAACTAAAAGTAAATATATTTTTTAAAAAGATGGTTATATATGGGGGAAAGGGAATTGGAGAGAAAGTAAAGAACCAAGAAAAATAAGAGAGGCTTGGCAAGAACAATGTAATGTGTATGCCATGAATTGAGAAGAGTAATTCATTATGTCACTTAACTTGGGTTTTAAGAAAAAACTTTTTTTTTTTTCTGGTAGAGTTGTAATATGACCCAAGCATATCTAAAAGAGATCTTATTGAATGAAGCAGGAGTCCTAGAAGATAAGTCCTTCTCATTTCCCTATGCTGTATTTTTAATAAGTTGCATCCCTGTGAGAAGGAAATTTCAGTTCTCATAAAATACTGTTATAGAGATGTAGAAGTTGCCTTTGTTAAATAAGTGCTGACTCTTCATTGGGCGTGCAGATGCCTTGCACAACTGAAAATGGGATAAAAGCTTGACATCTCCGATTTTATCTTGTATCTGCATCCTTCCCTACCTTAAACTTTAGGTTAGAATATTACTCCACACATAGACATCTTAATCATTTAAGGAGTATTTTTGTTAAAAGCTAGTAATCCTCCTCCTTCAAGGCTGAAGAAACCAAGATAAGAATTAATAAGATATGTTAAGGATTTGCAGGTACTTCATAATCAACCACCACCTTTTACAACATCCTGTTTCACACCACTGGAGTGACATCTTAAAGTCTCCAGTCATTACCCTAAACCTGAAAGAAAACTCAGTCACTGTCTTAGCTAACTCCTCTTGCCTTTCTGACTTATTCTTTCTGAGTTATCCTCTCCTGCAGTCAGCTTGGAGTCCAGGAACAGATATCTCTGATAAACATGTGTGATAAAATTACCTCCAAAGAGCAGCAACTTTCTTATTGCTTGACTAGGCTCCACATGGCCATCATTYTGATATACCATAGTTTGACCAAAACTGTTGACTCTGCATATCTCTTTCTATGCCTCAACCTTCCTTTTGTTTCTTCTCTACATAATCCTGAAGCTCTTGTCAGTCCCAGAAGACAGAGCTGAAGATATAGATCCTGTTTCTTCCCAATCTGGGGTGAATGGCCAAATGTGGTCTTTCGGGATCACCAGAGCCAGCCCCTACTCCCTCTGGTAAACAATTTTCTCCCCTCATCTCCTTAAAATGAAATTCTTTTAACAGAATACAAATCTCTTCAAAAATCTCTTCAATTTTTAAAAGATATTTAAAATGCAAATAATCTTGGGAGAAGTCATCTACAAGTTAAATTTATAATAACAAGCAAATGAAATATCAGATTTCCTTGCTGAGAATGTCTTTAACGAGAGAAGGCTGAAGGAGCAGGATTTTGAATGTCCTGAAAAGACATGGAGTACATGGGATAAAAAAGAGGAGCACAGAGGGATGTATCAAGAACCCCAAACAGATTAGATCCTTCCTAAATTTGAGAAAAATTAGTGATTGTAACAAATTTTATTTGGGAATTGAAAAAAAGAAAAATATCACCTTGGGATGGGGTTGTGGCTCAGCAATAGAGCACTCACCTTCCATGTGCAAGGCCCTGGGTTCAATCCTCAGCATCGCATAAAAATAATAAAACAACTACAACTAAAAAATAAATATTAAATAAAAAATAAAAATATCATCTTCATATTTGTAGTAATTAATTTGAGGTTTAGTTTTTTTTTTCAAAGCAGAGAGTAATTCTGTAATTCTCAGAATCCCTAGATTGGACTTATTAATTTTTACCTATTTAATGTTCACTGCTGTTAACAACTAATATTCTGCCTATATATATTGCTTCTTCTTTCTTCTGGGGTTTAATAATAGTGGATTCTAGTCACCCCTTTGAGAGATAATCTAAATCTAAATTTGAAGGTATGCCAGTTTTTTTTTTTTAAACAAATTACAGGGCATTTAGATTAAAACCAAAAAGGTTCTAGTTAAATCCTAATTAACTTAACGAAAATATGTTGTGCATTCTTGCAATTATGTATGCACWATTGTTAGGATTTTTTTTAACTACAGTACAATAATATTGTTTTTATGGGGAATAAGTCCTAAATACTCCAGGAAGCAATAGGAACCATTTATTGTTGCTAGTATGCTGCCATTAGGGCAGAATGTAAGACATTCTAAAATTCTTAACCTTATATGTTGTACTTTTCTAACAATTTTCTCCCCCCCCCCACCCACATCTGTTTGTTTGCAATTAATGTAAGTTTTGTGAAAAAAAGAATCAAAGAGAATAAGCCCAACCTTTTTGGCACCATGAGTACACTGAGTCATTGACATAACAAGTGACCCATGGGCATATGGTAAAAACTGTCACCTAGCTGCAGTGCTTTTGGGTCAATGCCCACTACTACTTCAATAGCTACCTCTCCTTAGTTACAACAATGAAGGTATCAATCCAAAGTAGCCAGTGTTTAACCAAGCTTTCCTTTTTCTCAGAGATATCTTATTTATTTTTAAAAGAAAATTACTATTCTTAGAAATTTATTTGTATATGTATTTAAGCATTTTTATCACCAGACATGTTATTATCAAGTTCCTTATGTATTACCTAATACAAATTAATATAAGCATGTATGACTCATAAGGAAAAAAAAACAAATAAAAAAACCCCCAAACAACAACAATAAAAAACCTTATGAAGAAGAATCCCCATGTAATCCCTGTCAGAACTAAAACCTATACTTTAAGAACTATAATAATTAAAACCAGATATTTTATTCACAGAGCCACCTTGTTCTCTGTTCCACATGGTTATTTTTGTTTAAGCACTAGCCCCTCAAGGCATCACTGCAATATTTGCTTAACTGAAACAGACATATCTATATAATAACAGCTGATTTTCATATTAGTCTTCACAAACAGTCTCAGGATTCTGGGAATTACTCTCTGCTTTGAAGCATTTTCAAGTAGGGGACATTTTCTTCAAAACTTTTATATTTTCTTCACTATTAATAGCAGTGAAGACTACTTATGAGCTGGGGATGTAGCTCAGTGAAGAGCACCTGCCTAGTGAGCACAGGTGATACCCATCACTGCAATGAAATAAAAAAGAAGTGGACATTATCTAAGGTCCGCTTCATAAGGCTGTAAACTTCCTGAGGACAGGTCCTGTCTTAGTTACCAATGATTCCCTGATGTCCAGCAGAAGGCCCAGCAAAGCATCAGTTCTATTTCTTGAATGACTAAATTTGTGTCTCATGGTTTATTATACTAGCTTATATAATCAATTTTTCTTATGACTGAATAAGACAGTGTTAATAGAGATATTTCTCATTTTAGAACAAGATCTTAAAAATGTATACTAATATTTCATATTGAAAATGTGAAACAAGAAATAAAACAAGGTCGAGAAAGGTTTACAGCTTCATGAAACTCAAAGGGTCTCTATATATACCCATCTACTTTCACCCAGCCCAGTGCTCTCTGAACCACACTCCACACACTGGTCCTCCTGTAGGACTCTGTAAAATCAAAATTTAAATTAACTGGCTTTTTGAAACCCATGTATTTTCAAGTTCATTAAGAAAAACTAAAAAAAAAAAAAAACTAGTTTGTAAAAGATTTTTTTTTATTGTATCCGTGCCACACATAGTGAAAAATAACACTCCTAAAAAAAAAAAAAAAAAAAAAGAATGCTACCTTTTCCACAACATTTTATTTTAAATAAAACTTCAAGTACTCTTACATAAGTACAAAAAAAATTCTGATCTATTTGCCTCCAACAGGCCACCACAACACACAGTAGATAAAACACAGTGGTTACAAATGTCTTTTAAATTTATTTCTGAGGCAAGGCAAATGGGAGGGAAATGTCTCTATGAAAAAATACTGTGTGTGTAGGAAATTGTCACGATTTTATTCCACATGGATACAAATGATTATACTTTAATTTAGGCCCTGGTGGCTTAAAATTATATAACAAAATAGAAAAATGGAAAACTAATATCCCCTACACCCTGTTTCAAAGGCAGGCACTACCAAGATTAGGGAGACGCCACAGTGTTGGTAGAGGATAATTACTGTACAAGCTGTATAGCTATCATCACCTTCAGACTAAAATAAGATGCTACAGTCCTTCTAAGGCATAAACAATAATGTCTGCAAACAATATATACACATAATACATATTTAAAACAAGACTTAATATAAACAATAATGAACAGTATATACATGTCAATATTTTTCACTGTCTTGAAATACAATTTAACTACACAAGTGATGCAGCAACATATATATATATATATATGTATATATATATAAATGTACTTGTAACTCTACAGTAAAGTTTATTTTTGGTGCTTTTATAGCACATCAGTGTAAACAGTTTAACTTGGCTTTGTTTTATATTTTAAAACATTCCTTGTTGTATTTTCAAGATTTAAAGCAATTTTCTAGTTCTTCCTTTTCACAGAAAACGAAGATTCTGGATGTGGTATAATCATAAATAATTCATAAAATTAAATACATTCACTAAAAAATAAACTACAAAGTAAAAAAATGAAAAATAGATATTTATTGAGAGGGAAAGGAGAACCATTTCCCACATTAGAGCTCTGGTGTTGAATATTCAGTGCGATTTGATATATTTTAACTGCTATTGCACTATAACACCCTTTCCTTTGAAAATTCTTTGGGTGTGCTTCCCTGTTCTACCTACATTAGCTGATAAATCACACAAACCAATAACCAAAGGTTTTGGTTGTCATAGGAGTGAAGCCTTTAAAAATGGTATATCTTCTGATATTTTCTGATACTTATTTTAAGGAAAAAAAAAGTCATTTTGTATGTGCCTTGCACATTTATGTAAATACAGTTCACATTGCTGGTCTCATTTGTCTTTGTTTAAAAGGAAAAAAAAATAAAGAGAGTATTATAACTTCAGCTCACTTTGAAAGTATCTGTCCATTTTTTTTCAAAATATTTCCTCATATTGTGGCCAGCTCTGCCTATATCAGAATCATCTTCATTAAATGTTTCACAGTTGTCAAAAACAAGCCTGACATCTACAGCAAAGGTTTCAAGGTTTGGATACCTGTAAGAAAACACATAATTAGAGACTGGTTTCATTAGTTATTTTCTGTAAGCAAATGAAATGGTTAAAAAAAAGATGTAAAACAAGAAAACTGAAAGGAAAAAGGCAGTTTAGTATAACTATTTCAACTGATACAAAAATATGTAAACACTTTTATGAATGTAACATTTAACTATACTTGTTTATATACAGATTAAATGGAAAAAAAAAACCCACCCAGATTTCCCTTAAGATCAAGATATTTTTCAATTAACTGGTAATTCCCCTACATCCCATTTCCTGTTTGACTTGTGTCACAATTCTGTTACAGAACTCCTCCTACCTGACTATTTTATTGATTCCTTTGACCAACAGTATTCACTTGTGTATTCTGTTATCCACATTCAAATGGGTTCAGTTGCAGTGAAAAATTATGTAAATGCTTCTTATGCTGTATAATTCTAGGATGTGCTACTTTGGGCTAAATCTTCCCCATTTCTCTTCTCTTTTCAAATATGATCTTTTGCTCAAGCACTGGAGCACCCCACTCCTACTACCATCCAGTGATGGAAGTGAAACTACCACCCAGTTTCACTTTCTGTGGTTTCAGTTAGCCATGGTCAAAAGTGTTAAACATTAAATGGTAAATTCCAGAGGGAGAGAAAAAGCAAGTGTATGTTAACATAACTTCTATTATAGAATATTGTTAAAATTGTTCTATTATTATTGCTGTTGATTTCTTAGTGTCTAATTTATATAAGTTAAATTTTATCATGAGATGTATGTATAAGAAAAAGCATAGTATTATCCATGGTTTGCCCAAACATGGAAGGGGAGAATACTGTATGATGAACCAAAACAAACAAAAACAAAAACAAAAAAACCACCCATAGGAAAAAAAAAACCCAAATCCATGTGCTCTCTCTTTACCAGAGGTAATATTATGAGCGACTGCTCTCTAATAAGATAAAGAGATACTATGACTTCAGGGCTTTTCTAGTGGGATAAGCTCAATTCTCTTTCTTTGCAAGAATACTGAGATGAGAACAGAAAAATAAATGTATCTGACTAAACTTATTAGTGAGAAATAAGTAGTCACTTGCAGCCATCTCTGGCCAATTCAGTACATTTTGGAAGAAGGCTTTTGGAAATTTAAATATTATATTAATTATAATCTACAACAAGCTGTATACTAAAATAATTTAACCATTATAAATACCCTATGAGCCACTAAAGCTTTGAAGCCATGTAAAAGTGGCTTTCTATTTCTTTCATAAAATACCTTGTACAACATTTCACTCCCTCTTCCTAATATGTTCCATACTGAAAGAAATAAAATTTATTTATCTCTGATATGCTAAAGAAGACTGAAGTCAGCCCTTATGTAACTTCATTCATTTTCTTCTTTTTCTGGGGATTATTTACTTTTCTAAAACTTGAGGTAAAGAAATTTATACAACACCAAATAAGTCATTTTGAAGTGGATAACTCAGTGGTATTTAATAGTTATGACACTATGCTACCATCACTTCTATTTCCAAAACAATATCATCATTCCAGAAAGAAAAATTATACCAATAAGCAGTTATGCTCTGTTGCTCCTTCCCCTAGTCCTTGGCAAGCACTAGTCTTGCTGTCTCTATAGATTTACCTATTTTGGATATTTTATGTAATACAATGTGTGGAAATGACTTTTATAAAATATTTTAAAGTTACTTTGAGGAATATTACTCTCCTTTACACTCTTTCTTATGTAAGAAAAAGTTAATAATTAATGTAAAGGAGACCAGAATCTAGTAGAGAATTATAGGTGAGATTCTAGTTAAAAAAGAGTGCAACACTCTATTTGTACCTTTCCTTTAGAAAAGGATGGGAAAGCTAACAGAACCCAGAAAAATTCATTAAAGCAGATATTTCCTTCCCTGTGTTCTATGAACTGTCTAAAAGTTTGAAATAGTTTGTGAGTTTTGTTTCCAACTCATTACTTTGGGTTTAATCGAACAACATGAACTTAGGAGAGCCTGAATCCACAGAATTTCACCTCTCACACAGCTGTCATCACAARCAGGATTATACTTCTGACATTTACCAGGACTCATTCTCAAAAGCCAGTTTGATTTTGTAGCCTTTTTGGTTATTTTGTGTCAATTTCTAAGCCTGTTTGTTTCGGATATTTTGAGTTTTAGGCTGATCTTCCATCCAGGAATTGGAAGATCATGAATCAAGAGTTAATCACTTATTAAGTTTTCACATGTAGATCTCCGGCCTGGCTGTATTAATTATAAATTCCATTGTACTACTGAAGTGAAGACTTATCTGATTTTTTGGCAGACAGAAAAAGCCATCTCTAGACAACAATTTCTGCTGTTTGGTTCATCTTAAAACCAACAATTTAATGGTTTTCAATGTTTCCTGTGTTTGGGAATATCCCTTCTGTAATTTTTTTAAAAAGTAAAACAAAGCAAATATAATTCTTTGAAAGACAGTTATTTTGTCCTCAAAATAAACTACTACAGTCATTTGTTCAATCCAGCAAATCACTTGATGTGAGAGGGATATTGAACGTTTTAAATTCTACTCAATTCTTCTAAGTGGAATATAAATCCACAAGCACAGTGATATCCACCAAAAGAATGTTATGGAAAAACTATACCACATATAGTATAGTAAAAACAAAATAATATAATTGATATATATATATTATATATATATATAGTTATTTTTTCAATGTATATTTCCTTATTTCTACATATTTTTTTTCTGACTTCACCTGAAGTAATAGGCATAGTCTACATTAAGCTAATCTGGTATGTAGGAATAAAGAAAGCAAGGGGAAAATAGGCCAAAGAATACAGCTCTGGGGATCCTGGCCATTCTCACATGGAATGTCTTTGTTCTGCAAGTGAACACCCTCATTTTTGTGGCTCCAAAGTGGGACACTGTCCTAAACCATCTAAATTACACTAATTAAGTGGTAACTCTCTGGCACAATTTTGAGATGGTCTGAAAAAGATCATTAACTAAGGCTAGGAAGTCACTTTATTTTTGGGATAGAATGAAAGCAGAACATAAAATAAAGGAGAAGATTTTCTTATATATCCATAGATGGATTTTCAATATTCTCCAACAACTAATAACACTTTTACTTTTTAAAATTGCCAATGATCTCTTTCTATATGGTAATAATATGAAATATTAATTTTGTTAAATCCACATGAGATGGTGATAATATTCTATTAATGTACAATACAAACTCTAGTTTGTATGTTACTTTGAAAGGTTCCTCTGACCTTTTTCCTTCCCCCCCAGTCTGGTTTGTTGTCAAAAAATGGGTTTATCACACTGTTTTTATTCCTTAAATAATTTTAATTGACTTGTTTTTCATATCTAACTACCCTAGSCAAACATAAGTCCCTCTAAAAGTGGGATTTGTATGTTTGCTATTAAGTAAAATGTCTTTGACTCTCTAGGAAAATGTACAGCTCATATTGGGGATTTGATAAATATTTATTGAACTGAAATGATTTACTTACTGTCCGTTACTCAGTTTCTCTCTAATTGTAGAAAAGTCCATAGGTTTCTTAATAACTTTCTTATAACCAGGTACAAGTTTCAAGTTTACAGGAAGTAGGAAAGGCCAAGCATCCTCATGAGTTTCCATTTCAGTCAGGATCATACTAAAGAAAATGATATTTGAAATCAGTATCTATACTTTAGAATTATGTTTTATTATCATTATTTTTGGTACTAGGGATTTAACCCACTTAACCACTGAGCCACATCCCAGCCCTTTTTTGTTTTTTATTTAGAGACAGGGTCTTGCTGAGTTGCTTAGGGCCTCGATAAGTTGATGGGGTTGGCTTTGGACTCGAAATCCTCTTGCCTCAGCTTCCGGAGCCACTGGGATTATAGGGGTGTGCTATCATACCCAGTAGTCTCTTTCTGCTCTCTTTTAAAAGTAATAAGTCAATGCAAATATATTAAAAAAGATAATATAGCCTTACACTTATACTATACATTTTTATATTTATAAAATTTTAGAAAGTAATCTTTAATGTGGTAAAAATGTTTCTAAAACAAATAAAATGGGATGTTACATAATACATGAAAATTGAAATAATACCTGCAAAGAGCTAGGTCCTTAGAATCATCTCTTTTGGGTTTCTTAACAGAAGAAAAACTTTCTTGTTTTGATAAGTTAATAGAAGTATTTTCCTCCATTTTTCTTTTTTTGAGGTCTTTGTTTCCTCTTTTTAGTGAACTACTTGTAGATGCAGAGTCTTCATCTTCAGTATCCCCTGTTAAAGTTACTTTCTTGCCTTTCTTCGATTCATTAGACTTTTTTCCTTTGACGTTAAGTTTTTTGATTTTTATAGTTTGACCACTTGCCTAGAATTTTTAAAAAGTAAATGAAGTATAAAAAATTGTTTATAGACTTTCTATATTAAGAAATATTAATCCTGATCTAAAGGTTATTTCTATTATTTTCAAGAGAGATCTGTGAATTTCTCCCATAATATAAAACCTTATTAATAAAGCATGAAAAGCCTATTTATCTGAAGAATTCTTAAAATTAGAATAGAACTTATCACAAGTATCCTTTAGACTAGGTCACTAACTGAAAGGGATTTACAGTTGAAAAAAGGACTCTTTTAACAATACAACTGTTCTTAGACACAGGTCTCTCCTTTCCTTTCTTGCTAGAACCAAAATTCAAAGAGGAACTTCAATAGGTCTTAGGAAAAACCTATCAGATTAAGTGTTCAAAGGTTTATATCTGTTATATTTGTATATTTATATAGTAGAATTTGTGAAATGATGGCTCAAACTGAAACAGCCCACAGCATATGCTATTTGGCTTATAGAATGCTTGTAAGAATTCTGAATTTGTTTCTAACATTAAATTTGGGAGGACATATATAAAAATCTTGACATCTCCTGAATTATGAGAAGATCCTATAAGATTGGGCTCACGTTTCTACATGATAAAAAATGGTGGGAGTTGAGTGAATACTATTACATTTAAATGGGAACATAACTTTGTCACAGTGCCCACACTAAGGGTCCAAAAAACTCTTCTGCTATTTACTTGGTTTTTGTAGGCACTATAGTTTGAAACTTCTAGTATGAGTCTGTGTGTGTGTATACACACATCCTTTGATTCCATGATCCTGTGATCACAATTATACATAAATAAATATATACACAGAGTATAAAAATAGCTAACCCTGTTATAGGCAGAAATAACCATTTGAGGGCAAGATGTACAGTATGAATATTTGCACTTAATTATGAATTAAATGGAAATATATTTTTAAAATGTAACTTTTCCTCACACATCAAAAACAGATGATCAGAATCCTGTTTTTTTGTCATAAGAAATATAAYGTATAGTTTACTGCATTTAAAAAACAAAAACAAGAACAAAAGCAAAAGTCTAGAAAGCTGCATTCACACCAAAAGACTTGGATGAGATAATATGCCTACTAATAATGTAACACCACTCTGAATGATAGCCAGAACTGTAATTTAAGAAATTTTATTAGAAAAAAAAAACCTCCAACAGCCTACTAAGTGATACCAATAAGACTTAAAAACATTTATCTTTAATACATAAAATATTGAGTAGATTTTCTATAACTTGACAGTTATGAAGCTAAAAGTCATTTATGTATAGCCAGTGAAGATTACTGTTGAACTACATTTAATTATATATGACAAAAATGATCAAGTAATAAGAAGTCAAAAAACAACTACTATTGAATAACATGCCACTTAGGCACTTATAAAACATGGTCTAAAATATAATACAATTTTATTATAAATACTTTACAGAACTCTACATTTATTAAAAAAAAACTTTCCCACACATGATCTTATTTTATCCTCACAAATTCCTACAAAGTAGATATAATCTCATTTTACAGATGATAGCCCCAAGTTGAGATCAGATCAAGCAGGTGGGAAAAAAAAATCAGCAAAGATTGAGAAGGAACAAAAGGAGGAATAAAACCTGGCAAGTATGGAATCTGAGAAGTTAAGTAAAAAACAGTGTTTCAAAAGAATGAAGGACTGTTCAACTGTATTCACATGTAACTGACAGGTCAAATAAGCTAAGCACTGATCAAATTTGTGGCCATGATGAGAGCTATTTTGGAGAAGCTGTGGAATTGACTAAAATAAGTTCAAGAGTGAACTGGGGTTCAAAGTTGGGGCATTGTTCCTTGGCCTTCTGGCTAAGATCAAGTGTAGAGAATCAGAACAGAAAACTTTCCAAGAAATTTTCTGTGTAAAGGGAATGAGAGAGACAAGGGAAGTGGATCAAGGGAGAAGTGAAAGCAGAAGGTTTTTCTTAAGATGAGAGAAAAAGTAGGATATGTCAATAGATAGGTAAGATGAAGCAGGTGAAGAGGAGAAACTAAAGATGTAAAGGGAGAAGAGTAGTTCTGGAGTAATGTTCCTAAGGAGGTAAGAGGGATGGCCCCTGAGGCATGAGTAAGGAAACTGGCTCAGTTAGGAGCACCAGAAGCTAAGGGCAACAGGAGAGAAGGTAAGGATATGAGCCCTGATGCTGAAGGATGATACATGTGGTTTTCTTCCAAAGGCTTCCATTTTCTCAATGGAATGAGAAATAAGATCATTATCTCAGAATGGATGGAGGGAACAAAACTGGAAATAAATCATCAGACATTATTAAAGGCCTGATTAGCACCTTGTATTTAAAGGGCTGCATTTTGTATTTCAGGCAAAAACGTGTACGAATGTTCATATCAGCATTTTTCTTATAACTAATAAGTGCTAGAAAAGACAGAGTTGGATTAACTAGAATAATAGTTTATTTCATAAAGTGAGAGAGAAGCAAACAGTAAATTCAATGTTTTATAATATGTAGATTATGATAATGGAATATTGACATAAGTCAGATTAGGTGGAAAGAGAGGACACGAAGGGAGAAGAGAGTGAAAAGGTCTTAAGATAAATATATTGAAGGTTCAAGTGAGATCAAAGGATTACTGGAGGACTAGAGGGAGTGAACTGGAAAGAAAGGGTACAATAGACAAATGGAAATTTGGACTTCAGTCTTTGGAGAGGCAGTAGTCAATAACTTAAACTTGGGGAACAGTGACTGGGGGATAGAGAATACCTAACAAAAAGTGTGACCTTGAATATATGTTGATCCATAAAATTTCTTATTCCTTTACCTTTTAATTACCAAACCCATTTCTTTCTCTTTTATTGTATTGCTTCTCTCTTAATTGGTATGAGAGTTCACAGGTTTCTATTTCAAATGTGACTAGAAAATTATGTTAAACACAGATGCTTATTACCATAAGATCTAGCAATTCTACTTTTAGGTTTACACCCAAAAGAACCAAAAACACATATTCAAGCAAAATCTTGCATGTGAATGTTCAAAGCAGACTATTCGTAGCAGCCATAAGGTGGAGACCACCATCAGCTGATGAATGGATAAACAAAATGTAGTAAAACCATACAATGGAATAATACTTATGTCTAAAAAGGAAGTAAGTAATCGATGAACTTTAAAAAAACATTGTGGTAAGTGAAAGAAGCCAAACACTAAAGGCCGTATATTGTATGATTAAATTTATATGTAATGACCAGAATAGAAAAATCCATAAGAAATAGGGATTACCAAATACTAGAGGTAGAGAGGTACGGGAAATTCCTGTTAACAGGTACAAAGGGTTCTTTCTGGGGTTATGAAAATGTTCTGAATTAGTGGTGGCATTTGTACAACTTTGTGAGTACAATAAAAACCACTGAATTGTTAAGATGGTGAATTTATGGTATGTGAATTGTACCTCACAAAAGAAACTGCCATAAAAGTCTGCATTTCGATCTTGTTATTAAAAAGTTTAGTTCTACATCAGTCTTACCTTAGCAATGCAAGCTGGACAGAACCAGTCCCCATCKGGTATAGTTGTAATCTTGGGTCTATGGCAGTAGGTATGACAGCCTTTGTCACAGCCATCACAAAGGAGAAGTAGTTCTTCATTATCTCCTTTTCGACATATTTGGCAGTACTATAATATATGAAAAATTATTTAGAATTAACCCTCTGCTATGAATAATAGTTACTGGGATGTTATATACACCATAATTTTTCATTTATATTAGTAATGAACATTCCGCTTGCTAACAAATATACAATAGCCATACACATCTATGTATCTCTCGTTACACAGATATGGACCACATGACGGGGTGAGCAGTTCTATTGGGGTCAATGCACATTTCAGGTACACTGCAAAGAACAAAGCTAGAAGTTGAATGCCTGCACACACTTCAGAAGCATGTATACATTAACATATGAAATATTAACATGACATTAGAGCACATAAAGCAATGAATAGCTTTAATACATGGTGTTTTAAAATGTGTTTCATTTTTTGCTTATCTTAGCATCCTCATGATATTCTGAGAAAGAAATAAGAGTTAATTTTGAAGATCAAGATTAAGAAACTTGTATTAGTATATAATTATATACAATAATAAAAGATATCCCTAGGCTTTATCCACCTATGTCTTGTGATTCACTAAGAAATGTGCCCAAACCAGGAAAGTTGGAAAATTGACTGAAATCAAACATATGCCACACGAGTAGAAAATTAATTTTATGAAATGATTTCAAAAGAAAATATAGATAGAATATATTAAAGAATTTAAGAGGTCATGATTTGTTTTTTAGAACCCACAATATAATCATTTCTTCTTTATTGAAAAAATCTTTTATTACTAAGAGATTTTCTTCCATGCATACATATTTTGTATAGCAAGTTTCACAAAGGAAAAGAAGAAAAGTTAGTCAAGTAAAAACAAAAAAATAGTAAGCACTAATTTTTTTTGATGTTTACTTCAAATTCTAGTCATAGTTGAAAGTGTCCTGCAATTAATATTTTAAAAAATGAAAACATTTAAGCTGAATTTCATTTATACTAATTTAAAGTTAACTATTTATATAACCTTAAACTTGGTTTGTTTACTTATTAATTGTTTAATTATTATTTATTATTACATCTGTCTTGGAAAGTCCAAAATAGTCAATATGTATAACAATGATAGCTTAAGAACCTTAAAAAATACATACTATTCAGGCTAACAAATATCTATCCAATACATTTACTGTATATGTAATATTAAAATTAGCAGCAAAAGCAGTTGAGTTTCATATTTCAATAAGTATCTTTTTTTAATATTTACTTTTAGGTAGACACAATATCTTTATTTTATTTTTTTTAGAGATGCTGAGAATCGAACCCAGTGCCTCACCATGCTAGCTAGGCGAGTGCGCTACCACTTGAGTCACATCCCCAGCCCAATAAGTATCTTTTTTATGAACTTCCTAATACTATTATCACTAAATACTATAAGATGGGGTTAGTTATTTTGCAAAATGAGTTACATCTTTAAAACATCTATTGTAGAAACAGAAACATCATTGAGAAATTCAGAAGATTATATTTAAATCCCTATAATATTAAAAAATCAGATTTCATGATGATGCGTCAATTCTGCTTTTTACAATAGATAACTAAAGATATTGTAAAGTCTGTTTTACCTCTCATGTTTGTGATTTAAAATTAATTTTGATACATTTAAAGAAAAGAGTGAGTGCTGGGGTTGTGGCTTAGTGGCAGAGCGCTTGCCTAGCTGTATGAGGCACTGGGTTCAATCCTTAGCACCACATACAAAAATAAGCAAATAAAATAAGCAAATAAAATAAGTTTTGAAAAATCAGTAATAACTCACGATGTTAGAGGAAAAAATGTATTAATATTTGGTTTGAATACCTGTTATTAAGAGTTAAAAATAGTGGATGTTGCCTATTATTTAACATCAACAATAGCATATTGTGGGCAGCAAATTGACAGATGCTTCTTTCCTGGTAAGCTAGGTCTCTGGCTAAGAGAGCATTTCTAAAGGTACTGAACACGTCAACATGTTACTTGAATTTATTATGAGAACTATTATAGRCACTGTTACCTCTTTAATTTAAGGTTATGTAGTGCTTATTGATTTTTTTCTTTTGTACTGGGGATTGAACCCAGGGAGGCTCTACCGCTGAGATACATCCCCCATCCTTTTTATTTATTTTTTTATTGTGAGGGTCTTACTGAGCTGCTAAAGCTAGCCTCAAACTTGCCATCTTCCTGCTTTGGCCTCCCAAGTAGCTGGGGTTACAGGTATGCACTACTGCAACTGGCTTGTTAATCTTTAAATACGAAATTCTCACCTTCTTTTAAAAGCAGTTCTACAGCAAATAATGTTTTTAATCTTACCTTTCCCTTTTCCCTTTTCCCTTTTTCCTTTCCTTTCCTTTCCTTTCCTTCCTCCCCTCCCCCTCCCTCCCTCCCTCCCTCCCTCCCTCCCTTCCTTCCTATCTTTTTGCAGTGCTGGGGAGTCAAACCCAAGACCTTGTTTAGGCAAGTGTTATTCCACTGAGCTGCAGCACCAGCTTGCAAATAAAGTATTATTAGACATTTTTTTTCCAAATTGAGGATTATGAGACGTAGAGTTAAATGATGATAAAAGCATGTTAATAACATACGTAAGGTTAATGAATTTGTGAAAATGGAAGGAATGCTTTAGATTGTAGAAAGTAAATAATATAAGAATAGATTTTATTTGTTTAGGTTTACAGCAAAATTCACCATATCATGATTATTATTTTGGTGTGGATAGAAAAAAAAATCTACAAGTTTCATTTTGATGTAAAACTCAGTCTTTTTGATAATTATCACCTATATTTCAGCAAATACATTTGTCCAACGTGACTTTAAAACTCATTTTAATAATAATTTTTAGAAGAAAAAATATTTTTACCCAGTATAAATGCTGTCAGATGAACTGAACAATATCTTAAAACTTATAGTGTATTCAAATTTGGTTGAGAAAGACCTAAATTTGAGCATATTTTACAAATTCCATTACATGTTAGGAAGTTAGGAAGAAGTAAAAAAGAAAAAGAAAAACCACACATAGAAGAAAAATGTATCTGTATAAAATGTATTAGGCCTTGAGTAAGTCTATGCATAGAGCTAAAAATGAATGAAAGAAAGATAAATTATTTAAGGATCTTTCCTTTGGGGAATGACTATTTAAGTAAAGGAATTTTACTTTCAACCATTCATGAAAACAAATTTCAAATGTTTAAATTTTAAAGCAAGTTCAAAAGTAAATGTTAAAGTGATTCATAAAAGTCTACATATATTGGATAATTCTGTATATGATATAGAAAGTAGACAAGAGGGACACTTATACATGGTTAAAAATAAGTCTGACTTCAGAATATAAATCTTTTGAATACACAGCATTTTGGAGCTTGGGACAAAGTAGAAGCTTACTATAGGACAATAATTAATTGGGCTAATAATAACTAATTGAAATTGTACATAGAAAGTGAAAAACCAGTTTTAATCACTGTAGGAAAGACTAAAAGATCTACTCTCCATATAACTATATTAGATTCAAACACAAAACTGAAATTAGAGCTGTGTTCATTTTGGATTTATTTATCTGAGGACTTTTTAGCAGTAAAGATATGAAAACTGATAGAAAAATAAAACATTTTAGGAATGCAGTAGTTATAGGTAATGTTAGCAACTGGAATGTTGACAAGAGTGAAAGGACCTTCAAAATTATTTAGATTAACAACTGAGTGATACCAGCAGAATGTAGAAAACAACTTAAGTTAGAATTATAAACAACATCAAAAAGAGGCAGAAGCAAGATTTAAAAAAAATCAAAGGCAACAAATTTAGTAGGTTCCTTCAAAAACTCAAGGAGGAAATTATTAAATTTTTATATGGTATTTAAGAATTAGACAAACTCTCTAGTACAGCATAAATTACTGTGACAGTAGCTAATATAAAATTAAGATCTGGAGGTTGGAAAAAAACAAGACAAAGTAAATTAGTTATAGTATTTCTTAAATAAAAACACTTACAACTTTCATAATTGATTTTTCCCATGCTATTGATTTCTGTAATTGCTGAATGCACAGTGCTACCTGTGCAGCACTGCGAGCTTCTGATAATGCCCTTCTCCATACCCTGAGCCCTGGAGCAATATCCTCTTCAATTCTGCATTGAAATATAGAAAAATTAAGTAGGTCATATCCACATTTATGATCACTGAATGTGAAACAATCATCACACTGAAAGCCAAGCAATGACAAAAACATGTAACAGCCAATAAGTATAAAGTTTAAGCAACTAAATTTGATGTAGTGCACAGACTGTGGCTACGTGCCTTAAAGCTTAGTCACAACCAGGTAAATGTAAGATCACTTTGCAGGATTATCAATGCACATAACAAAAAAAAAATGTTTTTACAAAGCACCATGCAAATAGCATGATCCATATGGACCACAGACATACAAGAAGATACATAGATAACAGGCAATAGAAAATAGGCTCCATTTAGCAAAGAAGCACAATAATTTTTCAAGTTAATCTCAATAACCTACCCGTCACCATCACCACTAATGGATGGTGCAGGAGCAGGGACAGTAACTGTGCCCACATTATCCAGTTTGATCTGAATGGTGGTACTTAAGGGGCTCTTCAGATACCTTCTTTCAATGTTCCGCTCCAAATCAGCCAGCCTGGTTACAGCTATATCTAGGGGGTTGTCACTCTTCCGTTCTAGTGCATTTACACTGTTTTCTTCTTCTCCAGTAAGTTCTCCATCATGCTCCTTGCACAATTTAGTAAATGATTTATGTTCAAAATATACCAAGTCCTCCCTTTCTGATGCAGGCTCTGGACACATCCAACCCTACATATCAAGAAAATAATGTCATTATGGTTTCTTCTTAAAAATGCCTGATGGGTGAATTACCTTTATTAAAAATACAGCAGCAGACACCGGCAGATATCAGGGATCTTTACTAAAAGTTTTTAACCTCAGGTTTCCTAATGCTAGGTTAAAACAAGAACAAAAAAATTAAAAAACTAAAAGAAAAGAAAAAAGGACAAGAAAAAAGAAAAATTAAAAAAGAAAATTTATCTACTTTTGATATTATGAAAGGTATAATAAAAATCAGCAAAGTATTCCAAAAGATTTTAGACAAATATGCTTATTAATTTCATGGGCCTACTTAGATGGAAATGTCTCAGTGGTCTGTGAACTTTGCTTTCTGTTTTCCTACTATCCACTACTCTTCTATGCAGGTCCTTATACTCACCATTTTCCTTTAGTTGCAGGGGCTTTGCATAAACCTTTGTCATTATAGCTTTACCCTGTTTTTTCTTTTCAACTAGTTTTTAATGTACTCATCCGCAGCTTTCAAAAATTTGCTTTAACATGAAAATCCCGTGAGGGGAATTCTTCCCTGACATCCTTCTGGAAGTAAGACCCCATTACATGCTCACATAGGACCACATGATGCTCCTCAGTCTCCTCAGGTCAATTTTATAGTAGCATTACTATTGAATAATTTCTTTCTACCTTAAAATTCCCGAAGGCAGGGACTATGCCTGTTTTTATTCATTTATCTCTAGTATAGTGAAGGCAAATAAAACATAGATATTGATTGAATAAATGAATGCTCTTATAACTTAGTTTACTTACAGTGATCTTCTGAATGAAAATCTCAAAGATTCCCCACTTTTTAACAAAGTCTCAGATCTTTTTTTAAAAAAATATTTTTAGTTGTAGATGGACACAATACATTTTTTTTTATGTGGTGCTGAGGATTGAACCCAGTGCCTCACATGTGCTAGACAAGTGCTCTACCACTGAGCTGAAACCCCAGCCCCAAAGTCTTGAATCTTATCAGGGCATTGAAGTACCTCAATCTACCTTTTTTTTTTTTTTTCCCCATTCACACATCCTGTGCTGCAGTCAAATTTCATGATTCCTTGCTTCACAAATATGATACATTTCCTGATGCTGGTGCTCTCTCATGCTGGTTCCATTTCTTAGTACATATTCTCCAGTCTCTGACAAAACCTTAACTCAATTTCTACATGAAATCTTCCCTGAACTCTTCCATATCTCCATCAGAAGTCTTTATTTTTTAAATTCAGGCATTACTCTGTACTTCTCTATGATTAGAAGTTAATAATAGATTCTGCAATATGTATATATATCTTACCTTCCTCTTAAATACAAGCTTTCTGAGGGTAAGAAATCCTCAGAAGTTAGGTAATGTTAACCCTAACCACATTTTATTCAGTTTTGTGTTGTCTTCTGTCTGATATGAAATTGATATTTAACAAATGCATGTTAAATGAAAAACAGAAAAAAACTTTTAAATTAAATCTCTTTAGAGATAATTATTTTATCCTATATATTAGGATTAAGCCTCTCCCTTTTTCTCAATAGGATATTTATATTCAGGAAAGGATGGAGCCCAGGTGTGTCTCAGTGGTACAGTGCTCACCAAGGATGGAATTATGTATGATACACATGAGTGCATTAGGTATAGTTCATGTCCAATGAACTTCCTTCCCACATTCTGAAAGAGATATGAAATTATTAAATAGAGAACACCATGCAAACATAGTATATCTTGATGTCTGCAAGGCAACTGACAAAAAAAGACTAGCATTAGAAAAGCCTAGATGGTTGAAAACTATATCCAAAAAATTTGGTAATTAACAGACCTTGTCATTTCAGAAAAGGTCCTTAGTGCCACTTCCTAAAGGTTCTACATTTGATTTCTCTTGTTTATGAATAACTTAGTTGGTTCCTATAGACCTTCAGGTACTGTGAAAATATGCAGGAATTTTATTTATTTATTTATTTGTTCTTTTGTTATCAATGACAGTAGAATGTATTTTAACATAGCATACATACATGGAGTATAACTTCCCATTCTGTGGTTGTACATGATGTGGAGTTACACTGGTCATGTATTCATATATGAACACAGTAAAGTTATGTCTGATTCATTCTACTGTCTTTCCCATTCCTATTCCTCCTTCCTTCTTCCCCATCCCTCTACCCCAATCCTGTGAACCTCYACTCCTCCCTCAACCCCCCAACCCCCAACCCATCTATTGTGAGACACATAAGCAAAAATTTTAATACTGTTAATGAATAAAAATATTCATATGCTAAAAAGTATACTCAAATGAAATTAATAAAAAATATAATCATGATAAATTCAAATTGCAGCTTTGAAGTTTAAGCAACTAATCAYAAAAATACCACATGTGACAGAAGTCACTGAAAGTATTCTGAAAGAGGCTCAGAGGTTTTTGTTACAGTGCCTATTAAGTAAAGTATGATGTGGAGGCTAAAAGGGTGGTACAAATTCAGATAGCATTAATAGAAGTGTAATGCCAGCTGAAGGAAAATAAAATTCCCATGCATGCATTTAGACATCTCTGCATACATTTATGAATACAATATTTTAAGTGGATATTGATACTGGTGCCATTCAAAAGAGAAACATGAACCTGGAAACTATTCCATAGGACAAATGACTGAAGGAATTAATTAGCTTATAAAAGAAATGACTTAAAAGAGACTAAAGGGTGGTCTTTAGAGAAATGGAAGTAATTAGACATTTTCTATACTCAACACAGATCTAGGACTAGGACTCACAGATATTTCTACAATATAAAAATATTTGTAGAMATGAATGCACCTAAGTAGACCAAGGCCACTTGCTTAACCACCTGTGCCATTGCAATGACTAGTTCCCCAGGCTAAACATATAACTATTTTTTTTTTTTTTTTTTGCAAAGCGGGTGGGGGGTTACTGGGGATTTAACTCAGGGGCACTCGGCACTCGACCACTAAGCCACAACCCCAGCCCGATTTTGTATTTTATTTAGAGATGGGGTCTCACTGAGTTGCTTAGCACCTCACTTTTGCTGAGGCTGGCTTTGAACTCACAATCGTCCTGTCATAGCCTCCTGAGCTGCTGGGATTTCAGGCATGTGTCATCACACCTGGCTTTATATAACTAATTTTTAAGAAAAAAATATGAAATTCTCTACAGATGTTAAAACAATGTTTTGTGGTTAACTTCATCACCGTCTTCATCACTTGTATTCTTAGACTTTTTAAGACTACTATAATTACAATTCAATTCTTAGAATAATACAAAATAATTCAGAAGTCCTTATTGTTAGGATGTTAAGACATCTTACTTAAACAGCAAATCCCACTTTAATAACATTTAAGCAGCCAGCAATGTGAAGAAGTCCATGCATCAAAATCTGAGTATGTCATTAGGAAAATGTTTCAGGACTACCCTCTGAACAAACATAATTTAAAAAAGTTTAATGATATGCTTTCCCAACTGATGGTCAATTAGAATTGGCAAATTAGATGGAAAAAAAGCTGGAGGAAAACAGGAAACATTTTAACTAGTAAGTAGTAACTGACCACAAGAGAGAACAAAAACAGAGAAGCAGATATGATAGCTTAGAAAGTAAGGTCCTGTACACCACATTTAGTTTAATGGCAAAACCTTTTCACCTTTCCTGAGGGAATCATTATCTAATAATTGGTCTTCATACTAATGATCCTGTCACCAAGATAATTTAAATTACACTAATTATTCTCAATTTAAGAAGGCAGTAAAATGTATAACCTAAGAGATTCAACAAACATGTTAAAAATTATGGCACTAAATGGAATAATTTTCATTTCTGCAGAAAATTAACTTTGAGGAAGAGTTCATTTGTTGAAGATGCCAGATGAATGAGGCATTTTTATATTGTGTTATAGTATCAGGAGGAGGAGACATATAGTTTGCTAGCATGATAATTTAAGCAAATGATAAATTTAGCTTCCCAACATTGATAACTATGTTTGTGGCAAGAAAGGGATATTTTTTTATCTCTTGAAAACTATATTTTTTGAAGGTCCTTAAAACTAATTATGAAACAAAATTTTAATTATTATGATAKTATTAGGCCACAAATTTCTCAATCTGAATAAAATATGAAATTAAGTAAAATTAGAGAGACTAAATTTTGTGAAACCGCAGATGTCTCTGCTTTTCATGTTTATTCATTATCCATTTACTCGTACAGATAACAACACCTTATTATCAATTCAAGTAACCTTTCCATCCCTGTTTGCAAGACCAAAAATTCTTGCACAAAAGTAAAGCTTTCTTTCTGCCTAATCACTTCTGATCATGGCCTATGACATGGTAATACCCATTTTAAACTACATAGAGTAAAAGGCTGACATATAAGACATTTGTATCCTGATCCTATATGAAATACTACAGTAGGAATTTGATGAGATTTATTTTAGAACACTACATTTATCATGGGGAAAACAATGAATTTTGCTTGAGGTAAAGAACTCCATACCACAAATAATACCTGAATACCATTAAGGGGGTGATAAGATCTAGTAAAAAGCATGTAGGCTCTGGGTTAAACAGATTTAGTTTGAATCCACATTTAGCCACTTACTTATATGACCGTTGGCAGGTTACTTACTCTGAGCCTGGTTCCTTACCTGTAAGATGGGTAAAATTAACTCAGGACTATTTTAAGAATTAAATGAGATAAAGTGAAAACATTTAGTACAGTAACTGGCATATATTAGGCATATAATAAATATTAGTTACCTTCCATTAGCCTAAAAAACAGATTTTATACCAAGTCAATTTTACCTTCACTTGCAAACTTGCTGATGCAACTCTCCTTTCTAGATCTTCTACCTGTTGAAGGATACTCAAGTCCATTTCCATTGCTTGTTCTTCTACTGACCAGTTTTCCACAATATCTCGTGTTACCTGGCTTTCTTCATTTTCATTTAATTCAATAATAGCAACTACATTTGAAAAGAAATTCATTTTAAAATCCACTTTATTTTCCTCTCCTCAGTGATCAGAAAGTGAATAAAATCATGTACATCTAACTTAACAATCATAAGCAGGCAGTTTACTCTAAAAAAGGAGAAACACTTTTTCTAAGAGACAATACTGTTCAGGTGCTAAAAATTATAATAAATATTTATTTAAGAAATGTAAATAGTTACTGTTGAACAACATTGAAAAAACTAGCAATAATAGAATTAAGACATATCAAAATGTTTTAGGATAAAAGAATTAACTGTCATAACTATACAAGAAAGCAGAAGTCTTTTAGGCACATACCATCCTTGTTCTTGATACATGCTTGAGTAATATAATCCAAGTGTTTCTGAATTTGTTTTTGTAATGCCTTTTCTCTGATTCCTCTGAGATGTAGCACCTTGAGCAAAGTTTTCAGGTCCTCCGGGTCAATAATCCTCCACCAACCAAACTGCATTTCTACGTCAAAATATGTAGATCTTTTACAAATATTTTGAATAGGAAATAATGGCACAAAACAAATCTAAAGATTTATTAACTACATATAAACTCACAAGAGATTCAGTTATAAGAATCCAAAATAATAAAATACAGTAAGTGGCTATAAGTTATCTTAATGTACCTACCTTCTGGAATAGGTTTTGGACTAGGAAAATCTACTGGTTTTGCTACTTCAACAGCTGCAGGTTGAGTTGATGAGACCTTTTCATTCTGAGGTACTGGAGATTCACTTTTACTTGAAGCAACATTGGAAGTCAAGAATGAATTACCATTTCCTTCAGATAATCCCAACCCTGATCCCAGAGTAGGTAAAGGTGATGTAAATGGAATATTGGAAGTAAGCACACCAGTGGACCACCCACAAAACTGAAGTCCCATCATAGACACTCCACTTTTCATCTGTAAAAACAAAACATTTTAAAGTAGATTAAGAACTTATGGAAAATGTCTAGAATCTGAAATTATTTTTCAATTTTGAAAAAAAATACTTTCATTATCACAGGTGGAAGAAAACTAAATACATTAGAAACAGYAAGATTAAATTCCATGTTCTTATTTTGCTTTTAGATACACTGTAACAATAAGTTAAAAAGTAATAAAGTGGACTTAAACACAGGTTAGAAACTGGTAGTTCTAATAAAGCTTGGGACAGAAATTCTGATTTGCTTCAGTTTTCAGGCTGTGACAGACTATATGACAGACTACTCAACTGATTCCCCTTAAGTGAAATCTTTATGGGGTCAAAGATTAAAGAAAGCAATATTACAATGAGTTTCAGTTAGTGGTACTAACCTGAAGAGGTGAAACAGCAAATGGATTTAGGCCAACAGGATTCTGAGAAGATGATCCAAGAAGAGGAGCTGGGGCAGGTGAAGGTGACTTGGATGGTGGCTGAGACTGAGGAGTCACTAAAGAAGTTGACGTATCGGCATGGGTAAGTGAAGTATCATCACAAGGCGTTCTTGGCAAAAGGCTAAACCATTGTCTATTCTTTTCAGTCAGTGTTTTTAACAATTGGTCATTGGGTAGAGGACTATAGAATTTCCCTGGACCACCTGAACCAGTGTTAAACAGATTAGAGTCTGTCTTCTCCATGTTGCTTTGTGATGCTGTTGATGGAATGCTGCTCACTGAATGTTTTCCACTATTTTGATAAGACAGTGTGCACCCATTTGCACTAACATTTGGTTTGGAGGTCACAATGTCTGACTCAGGAGGCATCTTAGCTACTTCCAAAAGCTTGCTTAATTTGGAAAAAGAGCCAGGTTTCTGAAGAAACAGATTTGTGTTATCTTTTTCTTTAAGATCTTCCTTTTGCTCACAGTGATCTGTATTTGAACAATTTAAAGTATCCCCAGAAGTCTCAAACATTTCTTCTTTGATTTGGATACTTTCTGCCTTTTTAAGTTTTTCTCTTTCTTTTGCAATTTCTTCTAGTCCTACAAAAACAAAATGTGTTATGAAAATCAGTTATTCCAAGTCAAACCAATATTGTAATTAAATTTTATTATTTATGAAATTATATGCTTGATGTATTAAGAACTATGTAATGTTTTGAACGACCAACAATAAAAAAAAAATAAAAAAAAATAAAAGCTTGAAAAAAAGAAATTATATGCATAAATATTTAAATGACCTTTTCTAGATGACCTAATAATACTCTCCAGATTCTCATTTTATATATTATTTTTCCATTATTGGAAAATTAATAAAAGCCCTATTTCACAGAAACAATCATGAGTGACAGTTTAGTATAAAACTTCCAGAAATTCTCTGTCCTTAAGCCTATATAGCTAAAAAGAGGGCATCTTGTCAAAGAATAGTCTAATCTACCTGTTTTACTGAATAATACTCTATAAACACCTTGCTGTGTCAATATAAATTTTAATAGCTACAGAGTATTCAATGGGTTACATCATAATTTAAATAGCCAATCTTCTACTGATAGACATTAATAGGTCTCAATTTTTCACCATTATTAGCAATTCTATTTTGATGAATGATCTTGTATCTGCATTTCTGTTTTTCTTTTCTTTTCTGATTTATTTCCTTGGGATAAATATGTAGGGGAAAAACTCATTGAGTGTTAAGATACATACTTTTCAGAGTTTTAAACATATATTGTCAAAATGCCCTTTATACTGTCTGGATCAAAATATACTCATACCAGATGAGAACATCTGTCTGCCTACACCCTCAATGAAACTGGATGCTGTCAATATTTCTTGTCTTTGCCAATATCTAGGAGGTGAAAATCTCAGTCACATTATTTCTGATCATTAGTAAGGCTGAATATTTTTTCATAGGTTTATTGATATTATTTCTGCTTTGTGAACTTCTGTTTCATGTTTTTTTCCATCACATAAAAATAATTTATAGGAATTCCTTTAAAAATATAAATCCAGCCAGGTATAGTGGTGCATGCCTATAATTCCAGCAACTCCAGATGCTGAGGCAGGAGAATTCCAAGTTCGAGGCCAGTTTCAGCATCTTAGTGAGGCCCTAAGCAATTTAGTGAGACCTTGTCTCAAAATAAAAAAATTTAAAAAGGGCTGGGGATGTGGCTCAGTTATTAAGCGCCCCTCCCTGTTCAATCCCTGGTAGCTAAATAAATAAAAGTAAAATCCACTACTTTATTCAATATGTTTAAAAGTTCTCACATTCTCTCTTGAAATTAGTTTTTAACTGAAATTAAATCCTATACATTACACTTATATTTCTGACAAATATAAACTAACAGGACTAGATTTACTCTTATGAAAAATTCACAAGCAGAAAAAAACATGAAACAATAGTTTGCAAGAAATGGATATCACATAACAAAGCTGAAAAAAATCAGTAAGCCCTATAATTGCCCCCGAACATTGCCTTGGGATAGGTTCCACATGCAACGCAGAGAGAGAGAATCCAGAAGGAGGCTGGCAGACTGACTAAGGGGAGTCTTGGGAGGAAAGGGGAGTCTATTCTGGAAAGAAGAGAGCTGTCTATTCTGCAAAGAGAGAACTCTGGAGATCTGCAGAAGGATTTCTTGAGTATTCAAATGAGGAAGATCAGTACACATGTAAGGAACCCGCTAGAGGTCGGGGGAAAAAAAACAATGTGAAAGGTTTATAGGTGACAGTGCGAGATGTACACACAGACTGGTAATATTGCTGTTCCTACAACCTGAATGGTAAGCCTCAAGATTCATAGGCATTAGTTACTCAGAAGGATCTTGCTTCAGTGGCAGGGGATAATTATCCTAGACTGAGTAATGTTCTAGTTCAGCCTAACAAATTTTAAATACAAGATATGAAAGGATCAATCTTTTCCCAAGTAACTTAACTGTTTCTCAGTTTAAAAAGCTCAAGAATATTTATAGGAATTTAAAAACATCCAACATCCCAAACAAGATAAAATCCATAATGTCTGGTGTCCAATAGAAATGTCATTTCTRATGTCATGGCTTTCTAGAAAGGTAGCAAACAGGGGTGGAAGAATTTTTCCTTAGAGGCAGAGATTAATTCACTTGGCAGAGTTAGAATGATCTCAGTAGCAATGCCTGAAGATGGCAGAAACATGATAAACTAAAGATGCTGATTAGTGGTTTGAAATTTGGTTCTATCCCACTTCTTAATCAGCTTGAAGACTTTCATGAGTCCTGAGGAGRAGGGTGAACTAAAAAGGGTAACAGATGCCCTGTTAGGAGGGAATACAGGGGAAACTCCACTCTTTGTTATAATATATGAGGTAACTTATCACTTTAGATATGAAGCCAGTTTCTGTGAAGCCTGGCACAGAGGAGCCCGAGTATSATCAACAGCAGGAGGAAATTCATCAGCTTTTAAAGCAAGACCCTGTTAAACAATGAGCAGTCTAGGTTGACTAATAGTACTGCGGCATATGTTGCCACTCTGTTTCTGGTCTGGATGCATGGTAACAATGATATTCCATATCCCACTGGGGTGATTTCCCTGAGTCTCTTGGAATGTAATCTGAAATAGATCTACAGAGGATGTAGCTATCCTGAGACAACTAGGTGTGTTAGTATGATTATAAGACAACCCAGGTTCTGAGAGGACCAGACTGGACAACATGATGTTAGCACAGAGAATGTTGAATAACTGATTCAGAGCAGGTCTTTCTAAATGGACAATGACTTTGATTTTATTTCTTCACCTGGAAAATACTGTTAGAAATGAAATAGTTCGGAGCTGGGGTTGTAGCTCAGTGGTAGAGTGCTTGTGTAGCACATGTGAGGCACTGGGTTCAATCCTTACCACCAATAAAAATAAATAAATAAAATAAAGGTATTGTATCCATCTACAACTAAACAACAACAACAAAAAAATATAAATGAAATAGTTCTTTTAGATCATTCATGTTTTGTCATAGGGCAGGAAATGGAAAGAGAGAGCCTAATAAGTGGTACAGGTTTCTGCTTCAAATGAAAGAAGGAACTAAGAAGAGGATAGATTGACTACAGTTCTGGTGATGTCTTCTTCACATCAATAAATGTTGTATTGCTCATAAACAGAAAGAATGACAAGACAGAAATTGAGGGGTTGCCTAATTTTACAATGTGGGAATGTGGTTCTATCCCAAAACTTGAAAAGGCCCATTGAGACTATGAAAAAGAGACTTATGTGGGCTGGGGATGTGGCTCAAGCGGTAGTGCGCTCGCCTGGCATGCGTACGGCCCAGGTTCGATCCTCAGCACCACATACAAACAAAGATGTTGTGTCCGCCGAAAACTAAAAAAATAAATAAGTAAATATTAAAAAAATTTCTCTCTCTCTCTCTCTCTCTCTTTTTTAAAAAAGAGACACAATAATTTTCTAATGTCTCAATTCATTTTACCAGGTACCCTGTTATTCATGAGTTCACATGCTACCCTAAATCTTTTCTCATCTTGTTCCACTTTGGTCTGGTTAAAGCTTGGTATTTGGCTGTCATATTAAAAAAAAAAAATAAAAAGCCAAAGGTTGAATATTTTCACTGATATGTGGAAGCTACCCACAATAATGGGGAAGAGGGGAAGAACAGCTATTCAGTAGATTATACAAAGGGAAATAAAGGGAAGGAAGGGGGATAGGAAAGGAAAGAAAGTGGAATGAATGTGTAATTTTTCTGTGTACTTATAGGAATACACCATAGTGAATACTACCATCATGCACATCCATAAGAATAGGGTCCTACCTAGAAATAAAATATATTCCATGGTTGTACAATTATATCAAACTGAATTCTATTGTTGAGTATAATGAAAAAGAACCAATAAAAATGTTAAAAAGAAAATAAATAAATAAATAAAGAGACATATGAGACAGATTATCAAATAGTTTATAGGCTCTAGCAATTGCTAGGAGAGATGGAATCATTAGATGATTAGATAGAGAAGGTCCACAGGAGAATTATTAAGCTTCATTCCCACAAACCCTGTAAGGATGCAAAGAATAGAGCCAAAGAAAGTATGTTGTATCATCTGGATTCTTAATATGGGATCAGAGACAGGAATACTCATGGTCATTAGCTCTACTTTATGATTTGATTTAACTCTTTATGCCAGGCTTCTTTGTTTCTAAATCTGAGTTCTTCTAAATGGAGTAAGGACGGGGCTGAGTTCCTGGTTTCCCCTCTAAGAGGTCATGAAACATACTCCTCAGATCATCATGCTGGAAAGGAGAAGAGCCTTGAAAATTTATGAGACTGCTAGAAATGCAGGACTAAGTATCTATTATTCTRAAAAACAATAGATCCTTATTGAAAGAGCTCTGGAAAACTGGTTCCTCTACTGGGATTTGGGTTCAGTATTACTTATAGTTGAAAGACTGAATCATAATCACTGTAAAAGCTTCTGGACTTTTTTTTTTTTTGGTGCAGTATTAGGGATTGAACCCAGGGATGTGTTACCACTGAGCCACATCCCCAACATTTTATTTTTATTTTGAGACAGGGTCTCACTAAATTGCTTAGGCTGGTCGCAGACTTGTGATCCTCCTGCATCAACCTCCTGAGTTTCTGGGATTACAGGTATATGTCACTGTACTCAGCTGCATGTGGACTTTTTTTGTGTGAACTCTAGTTATTCCTTTATCAGACTACATTAACTGGCAAGAAAATACTGGTTATTTAAATCCCAAACAAGTAGGTCCATATATCAGCTGAAAATATTTACTGTGACCTCTGCTGGTACCTTCTATATCTATTGGCCATGTATGTTAACAAAACCCACCATATTTATAAGGCCTGACAACACTGTATGACAATGTTTCACCCCTACTAGAGAAAGAGACTGCATTTCTTATATAAGAATAGATTCAAGCAAGGGTAATCAGCAGCTTCATTTCAAACCTGAATAACTCTGTTTGGCTCTTTCACACTAGAAATGTAAGTATGTGTATAAGTCTCCACCAAAGAGACTCTGAAAGCATTTGTTAAGTTTGTGGGTATTTCACTTCCTCAAGCTGATGAATGATATATACCTTTTTTGGATGTGAAATTGCTGTGCCTCTTGCATGTGCAGACAATATACATACCATTAAGATGGAGACATTTCAGAATAGTATTCTGAAAGATGGCTCCACCAACTCCTTCAACAATGACTGGTCTGGGATTCCTCCACTCTTTAAACTTTGAACAACTGCTTATACCTCATATAGGTCCTTCAATCTTGGTGAAGTTCTTTAGACTCAGAAGTCAAGGAGCAGAAATGGAAGATTATACCTCAAAGTTTCTTTCCTCTTTTGTACTTTTGTAAAGTACTTTTGTACTTTCAATAGATGCCTAAAAGGTTGTTGTGGCTTTCATATTACAAATGAATGAATGAATATACATTTGGATTCTCTCCTGCTTTCCTGATGGCACTTGCTAGCTCCAAAGAGCTCTAAATCTTTGTTGTATGCTTATTTTAAAAGTGGGAGATTTTTCCTGTAGTCCTTATATCCACAGAGCACCTTGAATCTGGAGGACACTTTTGGTGAAAAAATGACAACTCCTGGTTTCATGTTAAAGTTTCTGTTCCAGAGGAAAAGGACAGACCATATGAACACTGCAGAAGATATTGATGGACTTGGGCATAAACGTGCCTGAACAAAGAAGGTGCAAGGGTGGTTGGAATGTAAATAACTCACTTCACCTTTCTTACAGACATTAACAAACTCTGCACTCACTCAATGACATAATACAAAGCTATGACAATACTGAATTTGTCATCCTCAACCTATTTGCCTGCAGAGTACCTTCCAGATGTCTACTCCAAGGTACACCACAGAAATTACTGTTATCTGGTCCTCATTTGCCTGGCCTTTTATAATTCTGTTCTTATTAATTACATTATATAAAACTCTCTTTACCTTCTCAAGTGAAAAGAAACACTCTTATCTAGACTTCCAGTGTACCCAACATCAGGGTTACAAAACATCAGGTTGAAAAGTGGCACAAAACTCTCAACCAAATACTTCTACTTTAGACCTCCAGTTGAGTCCAACTAATAGCATGCTGGCAGTATGCTAACTCCAGGGAAAAATAAATGAGAAGTGGATAGAAAATGTAGCATTGACAAGGTCAGTGATCACAGGTTAGAACTCTAGGTGCTTCATATGTGAAAGGTAGGCTCTTCTTGCTTCCCACCTGGATATATAATACTACACACTTTGGAAGTAACTAGGAGACATTTTGTAGTGACTCAAAACCCAAAGGGCACTGTTGAACTTTTCAGCTGTGATCTTTAGTACCAGCATCAGAGCTTCCATGCAGGTGTAAGGGATACAGGCTTTTATTACTTTGCACAAGGACTTTTTTCTTGAATATGCTCCTCTGAAGCAGAGGTCTGACCATAACCAGCTATCCTGGGGGGAACAATTGAGAAGGCATGGCTCTTATCTCTTAACAAATCAGCATCAAATTTTTGGCCCAAATAGTATATTATATAATTGTGTAGCTCTGGACCGTTTGTTGGATATAAGGCCAAATGACTCAGGCAAGCTCTACACTTCCTAAGGTGGCAACATGTTGTTTGCTTTGGAATTTGTCTGGTTATGTCTCTTTTAGCACTGTCAATGAATACTGAAAGCATTATTTAAACATACAATTGAGCTGGTATGGTGGTGTATGCCTATAGTTCCAGCTATTTAAGAGGCTGACACAGGAGGATTGCAAGTTTGAGGCCAGCCTGGGCAACTTAGCAATACTGTCTCAAAAAACAAAAAGAGATGGGATATACCCAGTGGAAGAGTGTTTGCCTAGCATATTCTGGGTTCAATCCTTAGTACTGGGGGGTGGGGACACCCAGCTGGTTCCTGTTGCAAATGAGCTACCCCAAGGGTCAGGGGGTGGACTGAAAGGGAATAAGCCATTAGTTTTTAGCTTAAGGTCATGATCCTTCCTTTCCCCCAAGACCAGCAAGCTAGCTTAGCCACTGATGTAGTTGAAAGAGGAACAACAGAATCCTTAGCTGATGTTAGCACTGTTCCTGGGCCCTTGGTATACAGACACTGGCCCTGGTATTCATACTCCTAGCTCAGGGGTCCTCTATTATTTCTCAGAAAAATAAAGGGTTTTGTATCTTTCTTAGACTGATCTAAAATGTACAATGCTATGAAAGGCAGGGGTTCTCTCTCAGAATGGTCTTGTTGCTTGTTGAATTTATTACTGGAGAGGGCACATCCCCTATGGAACCACTATCAAGGCTCAGGAGATTCTGTGTGCTCTGTTAATAAACTTTGTTGTTATACATGGTATAAAGTACCATAGAGAATAAAAAGTAATACAAATTAGATTATAAGATTTAAATAATATAAGTAAATAGTAATAATAAGTARAGCAATGTGCCAAAATAATGTCATTATTAATTATTTGGTTTTCTAGGAGTATACACATAGTAAAAATTAGTTCCACTTAAATAAGCTGGAAAGTTCATGGAAGGGTTAGGGTTTCAGCTATATCAAAAAAGATGAATAAAATTTAGATGGTTGAAGAAAAGGCAGATTATTGTTATAATGACCAGGATTTGGCCAAGCACAGTAACACAGAGACATAGGAGGAGGAATACACCTGTTGAGCAATAGTAAGTAGGTAGATTGACCAAGCTGAATTATTTTTCATTATTGTTGTTGTTGTTGTTGTTGTTATTATTATTATTATTATTGTACTGGGGATCAAACTAGGCAAACATTTTACCACTGAGCTATACCCAGTCCTTTTTATTTTTGAGATACAGTCTTGTAAAATTTCATAGGCTGGCCCTGAACTTGTGATCCTCCTGCCTTGGCCTCCTGAATAGCTTGGATTAAATGCTTGTGCTACCACTCCTGGCTTGACTTAGGTGAATTTTTATTAGAGAACAGTGCAAAGATAGTTTGAAGTCAGATTTGTACACAGACTTGGATGCTAAGTACAGATTTATTACATCATCCTATAGGCAATAGGGTGTCATTCAAGATTTTGGAGTAGGTGGTGAAAGAACATAACAGAATGAGGGAATAGTACATAGAGAAATTGAGGAAGATTGTAATCACCGAGTTATATATTGATAAAGGACTAATTTCAGTATGTTGCAAAGGGACTGATAATTTCAGTATTTTGAAAGAAAAGTTGATGTCCTAGATAACTTCAGGTTCACATGCCCAGAGAATGATGTGGCTCTTAATCAAACTGAAGAATATTTAATGGTCTGGGATAGGGCTCAGATTGGTCTTGTTTAAGAATCTCAGGTGATTCTAATCAAACCAATGTAAACAGCTACTCACTTGGGCATTTCTTTATCTGTTCTTAAGCTTTAGCAGGCTCTGCACTCCAAATGACTCACAATATTTTCAGTTTTACTTAGATTTCTATACTAAAACTTTTATTAAATTTCATTACAAACAATCCTTCTTCTTGACTCTGATTTTGTTTAAGGCATTACAATTTTTTATACTGAGGATCAAGTCATCAAATTTATCTCTGATTCCACTTTTCCTACATCACCCTCAATAATTTCTTAGAGCAATCTTCAAGATCTCTTTCTTTGTTCCTGTTACCTCTGTTTATACTTAAGTTTAGGGTCTTCCTACTTTTCAGCCAAGCTTCTGGAATGATCTCACCACTGACTTCTCTATCCTTTCTTATTCCAATCTAATGTGTAGTTTGCTTCCAGGGTATTTATTTTTGTGTAGTTACCCTGCCTAAATTAGTCCTCAAAGAGGTCACATCTAGAGGCAGAGATGCCCATGTGTGCCAGAAACTACAAAGAAATCATAATGGTCTTGTTGCTTGTTGAATTAAGTAGGCTAGACAACCTTTCCCTTCCTTGAGATTTTTAAGCCCTTGCTTTTATGGTTGATGGCTCTGAGCTTATTCTTTAATTTACAGAATGCCCCAGTATTCACCAAAGTTGCTGGTTCTGTATTGGAAAGCAAATGTATAGGACAGAGACCTAATTAGAAAGACTAAGGTTTCCCCAAATTTATTGATCAGAACAAATCAGTTTTTGTTAGATATTGGGTTTTACACAAAATTTTCATTAAAAGGTTGATTCTACTACTAAAAGAAAAAGCTTAAACAACCGCCTTGTTTATTATTTCTACTCTAATCATCTATGTGATTACCTAATCTTTTCTCACATTGGACTATAAATGCTACATGGCATGGATTATGTTTCATATAACTTTGTGCTTCCTGCTGTGCCTACCTAGCTCACTGTGGGTACTTGAAAAATATATTGAAAGAAGTTTATGCCTCCACATTACCACCATGGGTCAATTGCCACATGACAAAATTTATAAATACTGGTATAACACTTTTGGCCCCATCAGAATTCAGACATTTGAAAATGCCTAGACATAGAGTTCTGAAAAGTTCAATATGAGAAAGTTCACTGAGCATAAATATACAGCATACTGTGCCAGTTAATGTAGTAGAAATGAAGCCAGCAAAATAGTCTAAAGGTGTATTAGGAAAGATTAGTGGTAACACAAAAATCAAGAAAGGAAGATGTGATCACAAATTTCAAATATGAACAAGATTTTGAAATGAATGAGGATTATAATAAGGACCTTAATAGAAAGTTAYCTGTAGGGGTACTGTTGGGATGAATGCTTTTTGAGAAAATTAAAGAATAAGCCTCATAATTGAAAGTTTAAATTGGAAAAAAAGAAATCCTAGTGCAGCATCTAAAGGTTAGGCAAGATCTGTGTCCACTAAACAAGAAACAGAATACCTTATGTTTAATGTCAGAAAGTCTGACAGAAGAAAAATCAGGGGCAAGAAGGAAATATCTATCAGTGAAAGGAGCATTATGAGTTCAAAAGGAATAGAAATCAAGATTTTACAATGTTTATTAATAAAGCACACTTGATTATGGACGGACAAAATACACTGAAAAAGTAACAGGGTTTGAAAAAATACGGTTTCTTATTTAAGATTGTACTTTGTAACAGATTAATAGTTCCTACCTTCACCACTTTCCATGCCTTCTACAAAAATCCCCCCACACTGGGGAAGAATCCAGTATCTGCGTCTGTAACGATCCTGGCCGAACATCATCGAACGTAATGAATGAGAAGCATCGAAGAGCTTCCTTCTGTACTGACTTTGTTGCTGTTAAAAAACAGTATGTATAATTACATTATGGATGCTAAAGGCTTTAAAAATTAACAGATGGGCGACTTTAAACCTATTATGATTTTAAAGTGGATAAATTTCACTACTGGGAAAAGATAGCAAAAGGTTAAATATGACATGGTTGACTTCAATTTTAGTAACATTTATAAAGACAAATTATTTTCAGGAAAAATGGAATATTTTATTCCACCAGATTAAAAGGATAAGTTTCATTTTGTCAGGTATCTTAAAGTAGATCATGCCTTAACATGTAAAACATGACCTTATATGTGATCATTTTTTTGAGCCAAAGCAAAATGGCTCAATTCTATAGATCATTAGAGAGAGGGTAAGACCAACAATACTTATATATGTAATTGACCAAGGCTATATTTGCTTATTTTTGTATTCATGCTACAAGTCTAGGTGACATTTGACTAAATTTTGAGATAGATCTGTGAATTTGTCATTAAAATATACAGGCATCTCAATACTCATAAAAATTCATTTTTTCTTATAAAAAGTTCATTGTAAATTTCACTAATGCTATTGAAATTTGGTTTTTAATGGTAATTATATAAATATGTACTATTTATAAATCCAATGCAAATAAAATCCACAAATGTAATAATTTAAAATAAAACCTATGATGCCGAAATAATTACTATAAAACTCAACTACATTTTTTTAATATTTATTTTTTAATTGTAGTTGGACACAATACTTTTATTTTATTTATTTATTTTTATGTGGTGCTGAGGATTTAACCCAGGGCCTCACATGTGCTAGGTGAGCGCTCTACTGCCCAGCCCCTCAACTACATTTTTTGAGTAATTAATTTCAAGAAATAAAGCCATGCCTTTATTGATACTTTGTACTTATATGAAGAACTGAAGAATATAGGACCTTTTCTTCACAAATTCTGATTAGACTCAATAACAGGCTTTTAACTTTGGCATTAATATTTTTTTACATTAATATTTTAAGGTTTAATTATAAGAATTTTTCTAGAGTTCTTCATTTTAATTACTCACAAAAAAACTTCTTTTGACTTGGTAGTAAGAAAAGCTAATCCCATTCAATATATATTTTTAAAACATTACAAAAAATGGAAACATTAATCTGCAAAGTGCTTACTTTACTCAGTTTTTCAATCTGTTTTTCTAGCTCTTCAACACTTGCTGCTTGGTCACCTTCATCCTATACATAATAAAATASAATATATCATTCATCTGCTTTTAAGATATATGTATTAAATTGGACTCCCCCCAATGAATGCCTTCTATATGCAAAGTACTAGCAGAAGCCCTGAGGAAAGGATTAAGTTCTTGTTGTCTAAGCTAATAATGTGGTAAAGAGACATAAAACATTAAACAAAGCAAAACATCAAATAGTAGGGACCTTAAGTTATCAGGAGTCATGGGAGTCTAGTGGAAATCTACACAAATAGAGGCTATATGAAAAAGTCATGTTTTAAATAGTGACTAAAGCATGGTTAAGAACTTATAAATCAGAGAAAAAAAGAAAACATTCCAGAAAGAGTTTGACATACTTTCACATGAAAACATAAGATGGAGAAGGGGCAAGATGGGTTTAGGGTCATATTGTGCAGCATTGTAAATGCCTGGCAGTGGACAACAATATGATCCTTTGAGGGAAGTTAAACATCAGAACTGTGCTTTACAAAGATTAATTGAGATATAAAGTGTCCTGGAGCAGAGAAAGGACTAAAATGGGCAAAACTAGCTAGTTAACTATTGTAATGACTCAAGGAAGAGAGGGGATTTGGCCTTTCAAGAGTGTAGGGTAAGAGAAATGAAGGAAAGAATATATTATGATGTTAAGGTGTTACCTAGGAGATCAGAAAAATAAGGGTACTATTAGCCAAATAAATCATCTTTAGAGTGAAGATAAATTGTTTTGAACTTATTAAGCCTTTAGAGTAAAAATAGTACCCCAAACTTTGTACATAAATAGAAAATTTCTTTATATATGAAATTTTTCATTCTAGAAAGGGGAAATATAATAACTACCTCCAAATTATGTTTTAGAGGGAAGCAAAGAGACTACACRGGCTTTTTTGTATGTTAGTGGTACTATTTGTTATAGATAAATTATTGAATTTTTCTAATACTATTACATGAACTATAAATTGGTGATAACATTATCTGTAACATAAAATTTTTGTGAGGACTAACTAAAAACAGATCTGAAAGCAACTAACAGAAATAAGATTTTTGTGAGGGCAAATTAAGAAAAGATGTAAGTAATTAACAGGGTTATTTAACATGAAGTGCACATCTTAGTTTAAAATCTCTTTCTCAGGGCTGAGGTTGTGGCTCATTGGTAGACCACTTGCCTGGCTTATGTGAGGCCCAGGGTTTGATTCTCATCACTGCATATAAATAAAGATTGATTGACAATTTAAAAAAATATTTTAAAAAACCTCTCTCTTTTCTTTTCTGGTGCTGGAAATTGAACTCAGGGCTTTATGCATGCTACCACTGAGCTATGCCCCCAACCCCCAAATTAGTTTTTTTTTAATATATATATTTTTAGTTGTAGATGGATACAATACAATACCTTTATTTTGCTTATTTATTTATTTTTATGTGGTGGTGAGAATCAAACCCAGTGCCTCATATGTGCGAGGCAAGTACTCTACCACTAAGCTACAACCCCTGCACTGCCCCCAAATTATTTTTTTTTTAAAAGAGAGAGTGAGAGAGGAGAGAGAGAGAGAATTTTTAATATTTATTTTTTAGTTCTCGGTGGACACAACATCTTTGTTGGTATGTGGTGCTGAGGATCGAGCCCGGGCCGCACGCATGCCAGGCGAGCTCGCTACCGCTTGAGCCACATCCCCAGCCTCTAGTTTTTTTTTAATATTATTTTTTTTTAGTTATAGCTGGACACAATAACTTTATTTATTTATTTTCATGTGGTGCTGAGAATTGAACCCAGGGCCTCACATGTGCTAGGTGAGTGCTTTACCATTGAGCCACAAACCCAGCCCCCAAATTAGTTTTTGATGTTCATTTTTTCTCTGATGTTCATTTTCTTTTTCTTTTTTTTCCTTTTCTTCTGTGGTACTGAGGATTGAACCCAAGGGCACTCTACCATCCCCAGCTTGTTTTTTAAATTTTGAGAAAGGGTTTCACTAAGTTGCCAAGGCTGACCTCAAACTTAAAATTCCCCTGCCTCATCTTCCTGTGTTGCTGGGATTACAGGCATTTGCTGCTGTGCCCAGATTCTAATGTTAACTTTGTATAAGCATTTTTACAAAGTCATAGTGCCCACCAACCATTCATGAATATAATATTCATGAATATATATTTCTAGATAAGTGTGGCTACCTACTTAATAAAAGAAAATTTAAAAAAAGGTCTCAATAGTTTTACCATTGTTTATTATTTATGTATTCCTTATTCAAATTTAGGGGACCAAGTTATGAAGGCATTTAGGCATATTATTTATGCTAACAGTAACATAAAATCTAATTGGGATTAAAAGAAATCTTAAAACACTGACAACAGGCTCAATGACTATTAAATTTTGACTTTCAAATAGATATTTAAATACTGATTCTAAAGTGACCTTCTGATAAATATTTGGACTAAGACATCAAAGTAGTCATGTATTGGTCAAATTAACTAAATGTAATTGTTTTTTCCAGTGCTGGTGATAAAACTCAGGGCCTGGTACATGCTAGGCAAGTGCTTTACCACTGACATATATCCCAGTCCACAAATGTAATTTTTAAAGACATTTCTCATGATGAAAAAAAAAGAATACAGCTACAGACGTTTTATTTAAAGATTTTTGGCTAATAGTCCTTATTTAAGAGACAAAAGAACTTGAAAGAGTAGAGAGAAAAGTGGGAATAACATCAAAACTAAGAACTCAAGATCTATCCCTGTTCTGGTTTCTCAAGCAAAAAAGGCCATAATTAAATTGTATACATCCATCTCTTACATGCCAGCTTCTAAGGTTAGATTTCATATAGGTCTCAACACAAATCTAACAGGGAAAAAGTCCATGTTGGAAGAAATTAAGTACATGTATGAAGACAAGAATGGTGTGACTCTAAGTTGTGTACAACCAGAGATATGAAAATTGTGCTGTAAATGAATTGAAATGCATTCTGCTGTCATATATAACAAATTAGAATAATTTTTTAAAAATTTTAAAAAAGAGTGAGAAAAAAAGGGAATCATCTTCAAGACAAAGTGCTATGATTTATTTAAGGGCAATATATATTAATTGAAAGGGATCATAGGATGTCAGTGGAAAACCTCCCTGGGATTAATCCTTTCAGGAATATAACTACTGTACTGACACTCCACCTATAACTTAATCTAGAGGCCCAAACTATTTTATAGAACTAATATGCTCAATTTATCAATCAGGTTCATTAAGTGGTCAAAATTTTATTTACTGAAATTTGATAAGCTTCTGTCAGTTCCTTATTATCAAGTATAGCTTAAATCATTTAAGGAAATGTTAATTTGACTTCTTAGATCCCAAAATATTTATTACTTTTAAAAGTCTTGAATTGTTTTTCCACATTAATAACCAGATATATACTTGCAATTACAATTCTATAATCTATTTAACATTCTAATTAAACACTCATTAAAAAAATAAAATACTACCTTCAAAGACATATCTTCTCTGAGAACCAATAATGATTTTGAAATAGTCTATGTAGAAAGAATATATGGCTTATAAATTCTCTGCATATAAGTAGAAGCCAAGTGAAACAAACAATTTTAGTGGGATAACTACCCAGTAGAACCCTCTGAAATCCTAATACTAGATTGCCAAATTCATGAGTGTTGACACAAAAATAATATTATATGCTGAAAGGGATACTAATTCTGTGAAAAGATGATACATTTTAGTTAGAAATATTTTAATTCTTGCTATGGAAACAGCTCCATTTGCTAAATGAAGCAGATTACTTATAAATGGTATCTTTTGTTTGGATAATTACATTTCAGATAACCAATTATATACCTCTTGAATTATTTGTCATAGGATGAATGTATATGATCCAATGATTTAAAAAGTACAACATATGGCTGGGTGCAGTGGCATGCCTGTAGTCCCAGCTGCCTGGGAGGCTGAGATAGAAGGATTGCTAGAGCCCAGGAGTATAAGGACTAAGCAACACAGCAAATTTGTTTAAGGAAGGAAGGAAACAAGGAGACAACATTATGAAATAATTGATTTTAGTAATGAATCTCCATGTAGTCTCCTTTTTTAGATTGGTACTCTTTATTGTAAAGTAAAAGCAATGAATTCTTGGATATGACACCAAAAGAATAATAAAAGCAAAAAGAAATAAGTAGGATCACATAATTTAAAAGCTCTGCATTGTAAAAGAAACAACTAAAAAACAAAACTAAAAAAGCAACTAACACAGTAAAAGAAAATATATACAAACCATGTATCTGATAAGTAGTTAATATCCAAAAATACAAGGAACTCCTAATAATTCAATAGTAAAACAAACAAACAAAACAGACAACCTGATGAAAAAAATGAGCAAAGGATCTGAACAGACATTTCTCAAATATATACAAATAAATAATAAACAGGTATATGAAAAGATGTTCAACATTACTTATCATCAGAGAAATGTATATCAAAATCACAATGAGATATCATCACATATGTATTAAAAAGTCTATTATTAAAAAAGAAGTATTGGTAGCATTATGGAGAAATTTGAACACTTCTGCACTATTGGAGAGAATGTGAAACGGTATAACCACTATGGAAAACAATATGGAGGTTCCTCAAAAAATTAAGAAGTAGAACTATTTGTAATATGATTGCATAATCCCACTTGTGAATATTTATCCATAAGAACTGAAATCAGGATCTCCAAGAGATATTTGTACTCTCACATTTTGCAGCCTTATTCTTAATAGGTAAAAGGTGGAAGCAACCCAAGTGTCTACTGACAAATGAATGGATAATCAAAATATTAGCCTGACTTACAAAATTAATCCTGCCATATGACACAACATGAATGAATACTGAAGATATACTAACTGAATTAAGCAGTCACAGAAAGTTAAATTCTAGATGATTCAAATCATATGGGGTTATCTAAAATATTCAAACTCACAGAAACAGAATAGAATGGTGACTGTCAGAGGATGGTTGGGATGGAAAAACGGAGGGTGTTACTATTCAACTGGAATAAAGTTTCAGTTATTCAAATAAACAAGTTCTAGAGAGATGCTGTAAAACATACCTATGGTCAACAATACTATATTGTACACTAAAATTTTTATTAAGAGGGTAGTCCTCAAAATTTAAAAAAGGAGAAAAGTAAAATTCACTCTAGGGATTTTTATCATTCTGATTTAAGATACTATATTGGGGAGGAAGAATATATGAAAAYGTTTTGCATTTATTCTATTTTTACTGAAGAAAAAATTGCACAACACCATCTTGTAAGTTCTTCTACATTATCCATATTTAGTCATAAATTAATTTAGTAACTTATCATTGGTATCAACTAGATATTATTTTCACATATTCCATCAATAAATTCATCCCTCTAAACCTTCTTTCTTTATTCTCTAGCAGGACTGAGTTGAAGCAAGAAAGGCAAAGAGTTCTTTCTAGCTTTACTTAGTTAAATACTCTGGCATTGAGGAATGAGAGCATGATTTGCTGAACATTGATTTCTGAGTGTCATTCTGCAGCCTTTTCATTATTCCTCGAATTTCTTTCTGGTAAAAGGTGAACTTCAATTTTTTATGCATATATGTTTTCCTGGCTTATGGTAGCTTTCCCTAAATACACATAGTATACATATATCTTTATGACATTGCCTTTTCCCCTTTGGCCCACCCTTCAAAGGTAGCTTCTTCACTATGATTAAAACTTCTCCAGTATCTTTAGAACCCTGTACTATTAATTCTTCTCTTAAATTTTCATTTCCCTCTCCTAATTTTACTGATTCTTTCCCTTCAACCAAAAAAATCATCTCAAGGTGTTTCACTCCTGAAAATTCCTTGGCTTTATGTCATCCTCAAGGAACTACCTTTTTTTTTTTTTTTAATTTCTGAGGCATACTGCTTGAGACAGTCATCTTCACTTTCTAATGTTAGTAACCAATTATTAGCCTGTTGTCAGGTCTTGCTGTTTTCATGAAATTGTGCTGGCATTTGTTACTAATGACTTCTGTGTTGCTAAGTCCAATAAATAGTCCTCACACTAGATTCCTATTGTCTTAATATGATTTATCACTCTCCTTTCTCAAATGCTTAATTTTCTTGATTTCTGTTATTATTACATGTATAGAAAAGACTAACATAGTAAGGCCTGATTGCTATCCTTTGAAGGGCCTGTTTAGAAAATTGGTCCTTTGGATTGCAAATAAGAGCTTAGAATTTGGGAGGCTTCCCCCACTCCAACAGATAAGATAGACTTACTGTACCTAAACTATTTGTGCTAACAATATGGTTTATACTGAACCTGCATTTCTTTGAGTTGAGAATTTCAGCACATGCTGTTTAAAGGATATGTACATGACTGGCCCCCAGTCAAAAAACCCAGGCACTGAGTCTCTAATAAGTTTATTTTGTGAATAATAGTCTATATACATTGTTGTTGCTGGGGGAAGGAAGCCCATCCTGTGCGACTTCAATGAGAGGAAATTCTTGGAAGCTTGCACTGGTTTCCTCTGGACTTCACCCCATATGTTCTTTGTTGATCTTGCTTTATTTCCTTTCACTGCGATAATTCATAGCCCTAAGTTCAAGTATATGCTAATTCTGTGAATTATCCTAGTGAATTATTGAACCTGGAGGTGCTCTTGGGACCTTGAATCTCTTACAGAAATTTCCAACCTTTCTGACTATTCCTTTTTGGAAAAAGAAGCCCTGTGGGCTGCTGTTAAATACTGACATACATACCCTATGGTTCCAACCTCAGCCCACTATTCTATTCACTAAACTGATCTGACTATGCAAACTCTTTACCTTCTGGTTTTAAACTATTGCTCATGTGCTAATAACATCCCAGTCCATATTCCAAGGCTGAACTTCTCTTCAGGCTTCAGGTTTCTAAAGGCAATTAATCTCCCCATGTCCAGAATAAACCTATCATCATTTCCTCTCTTCAGTTATCTGTTCCCTTAAGATGCCTACCTCCAATTATCTATTTAGTCTCTACTCTCCCAAGCAAGATAGTTGCAAATAAATCTTACTCCTCTGTCAACCTACATAGGCCATCTTCATATTCTCCTCATCCTTCTTCCTAAATGTTTACTGAATCCTCATGCCAACTATCACTACTCTAGTTTCAGAACCTTTGCAACTCACCTATTACAATATCTCATGACTGATTTTTGCTTCTCTGACATTGCTCTTGCTTATTTTTAACTCCTACAAAGCTGCCAGAGTGAGCCATTTAAAAATCAAATCTGACCATTCTGTCATTTCCTGTTTATTTATACAGCTTTCCTGGGCTCCAATCACTTTAAAATCATAAAATCCTAGTTCTTTGTTCTTGGTGTGAGACTGTCCAGAAACACTGAAGCACTTGGAATTCCCCTTAAGCAAGTGGTTTCCTGCTTCTGTACTCACTCTATTCCCCTGGGCTGAGGATATTCTCTAGATTTCCCTGCAGGTTAATATCCATGCTAGTTTGTGAGCCTCACCTAATGGGTCCAGAAACCCTTTGTAGGAGTTTATTTCTCAGAAAGTCTAAATGCCCTTCCTGTACACCTGCCTAGCACATTGTAAATACCCCTTTCTATTAAGTCAAGTCACACACTACACTTTCTTTTTGAAAATCTTCCTCAGTAAGACTGAATGAAGAATTTGGAATTTGGGAGGTAGTTTCAGAATAGGTACTATTTATAACAAGAACAAACTGATAGAAAACATGATTACATGACTTCTCTGAATGAATTTTCAGTGCTTATTCATTTTGATAAAAATTACCTGGAACTACAAAAATAATAATTGGTGTTTGAAAAATTACGTCATCTTCACCAAACCCAGTAATACTTTTATTTATGTATTTTGGTGCTAGGGATCGAACCCAGGATGCTTTACTACTGAGCCACATCCTCATTCTTCTTTCTTTATTTTTTTAGACAGTTAAGTTTCTGATGGTCTTGCTAAGATACTGATCCTTGCTAAGATCCTTCTGTGATCCTTCAGCTTTCTGAGTTGCTAGGATTTTAGGGTCTCACTAAGTTGATCAGCCTGGCCTCAATCTTATGATTCTCCTGCCTCATCCTCCTTATTCTCTGGGATCACAGGTGTGTACCATGTATAGCCTAACAATCTTTTAAAGGCATGATGTCTGTGCATTACAAATGTAACATAGTACGTTGACAGAATTAAAGAGCAAAATAAAAAATTAAAAATTGCTTTAGGGAAAAAAATTATAAAAAATGTGTGAAGATGTGAAAAAATAAATAAAAAATTGTTTTAGGGAAAAAAATTATTAAAAAAAAGAATTAAAGAGCATATGTAAAATTAAGAATCTACATAGCTCTTTGTAGATTCCTCAAGTAACTATCTTTAGGAGCTACTTAACAATGAGAATACATTCTGAGAAATGCATCATTAGGTGTCTTTGTTGTGTGAACATCACGAAATATGCTCAAATAAAATGACTATGATGGCTGTTTTATATATGTTATATACAGTCAGCCATTGATGGAAATGTAATTATGCAGCACATGACTGTATATACAAAGAAAAACTATTTCATTCATTCAGTCTAAGTTGCTTTCTATATATAGGCATGCTATATACCATATACTTAACTGTCACACAAAAAATTATGAGATAAACATCATAATATTCATTTTCAGATGAGGAAACTGAGGCAAATAAATGTGAAAACTATACTCAAATCAAAATCCATTTGACTCCAAATTCTATTATTTTCAATATACTACGTAGTTCATAAATCTTAAAAATTAACCTAAACTTGATTACCTCGTCTTCACAGGTATCAGTCTTCTTTCCTTTTTTATCATCTTTATCTTCTTCATCTTCATCATCCTCATCAGCTTGGTCATCACTATCATCATCATCATCATCATCAAAATCACTGTCTCCTCCCTTCCTTCTTCGCTTGCGTCCCGGAGTAGGTGTACCCAAAGGATGTTGATCTTCTCCAAGATCAATGCCACCTGAAGTGTCTCTTTTGCCTGTTTTCTTAGCATGAATTATTCTGAGCCTTTAAATTTATCAGAAAATCATATCGAATAAAAAGCTACTTTCTATACCTTTTAAAGAGTGTAATATGAGTTTTAAGCAAAAATACCTTTTGGCACTTCTCTAAAACAATATACTACTAGCAAAATAAATTAGAATTAGGAAATTTAAGAAATATGTTTCCTAAAGTATAGTCTATATTAATTTTCAAGAGTTGTTTTCATATTTTGGCAATGAGAACACATTTATAACAAGTATGAAAGCTGAAAAGAGTAATTCAAACAATGACTAAGTGATAATTCTGATCCGTATACCATGTGACTGAAAAAATTTCAATTCAAATTACTACAAAGAAACTACCCCTTAACAATGAAGTTGACTAATTTTATCATGATATTTCCTGATAAGAAGATAACAAAGTTTCAATGTTGAATAAGTTTGGTTACACACTAAAAAAGCAAAGTTTACTTAGAAAAAAGGGGGCCATTTCAAATTGGTTCTAACAAGAACAACCTGATAGCAACAACCATCTTAGAAAGCATGATTACATGACTTCTCTGAAAGTAAAAGAGAAACTGACTTATTTACATAAACTCAATGAATCTCTAGTCCATTGTAAATTCTGGCCACATGCCTTCTACATTAATCATTGTATTTCCTTTAGAAAAAGTGAAGCAAGTAGATTAATAAAACGGACTTACTTGCGGAGTTTACCTTCTACTACCCACTTATCTCTCCTTAAGTTTGACATATAGTCAATGTTCTTGTCAATTTCACTGCCAATACAAAAGTTAAAAGATATAAATTAATCCATTTATGCAATATATTAATTTACTATGCAAATTAATATATTTTGATGAGGAAAAATGATACAATTGATTTTGTGTGTATACATGTATGTATATGTATGCATTTATAAATGTATGTACATTTATGTTGAGAAGTGAGAATTTCTTCAGTAGTGGATCTGACATTAGTATTAGAAAATTCAGTATGGTTTCTACTTTAAGCCAAGAAAGGAATTATCTACCAGTTTCCTTATAAAGACATTTGGTTTTCCAAATAATTAATATGTGATCATCTCCAAAATCAAAGCAGGAAATCGACACACATGGAGGGCTTAGAGTGTGGTTCAGTGGTAGAGCAATTTCCTAGGATGTGTGAGGCCCTGGGTTAAATCCCTAGCACCACAAAAAAAAAATAAAAACCACCAGAACACATATGGATAAGGCACATATGTACCTATGTACAGATAATATCTGAATGTATGTATGGAAGTATTCAAATGGAAACTAAGAATATTATAATATCTGGCAATAAGTGAAAAATGGTGCTTTTCCTCTTTTAAGGTAGAAACCATTAGTACAAAGTTTATATTGAAATTGTGTGTGTATGTAAGTGTTTTAAAAAGTGAAACTCAGTATTATAATTTGTTATCATGCCCATGTTTAGTGAAATTACTCTTTCATCATACTGTAAAACTTATTGTCACACTCTTTTAAATAGTGACAAAAAGTAGCAAAAGTAAAGGAAATATTAATATAGCATTACTACTAAAATATGTACAAAGAACTTAAAATGTCCAGCAAAGGTAGAAATGCATGGCTCTGAATATTCAGATTGAACCTTTTCTCTAAACAGGTAAAAGAGTAAAATAATTGAAGTCTGTAAAGTGGTTAACACTAAGAACAAGATGAACATGGATTTATTCACAAATCTTGAAATGCTAGAGTATTAATATTTCATTAGTAAGAAGTATGACAGTGCAAGACTGCCTTGGACATTTTTTTGGGGGTACTGGGGATTCAACCTAGGGAGCTTAACCACTGAAGTATATCACCAACCATTTTTATTTTATTTTATTTTATTTTTTTGAGACAGGTTCTCATTATGGAGATTCTTTGGAAAGCTGGGAATGGAATCACCATTTGACCCAGCTATTCCCCTTCTTGGACTATTCCCTAAAGACCTTAAAAGAGCGTACTATAGGGATACTGCTACAATGATGTTCATAGCAGCACAATTCACAATAGCTAGACTGTGGAACCAACCTAGATGTCCTTCAATAGATGAATGGATAAAAAAAAAATGTGGCATTTATACACAATGGAGTATTACTCTGCACTAAAAAATGACAAAATCATGGAATTTGCAGGGAAATGGATGGCACTAGAGCAGATTATGCTAAGTGAAGCTAGCCAATCCCTAAAAAACAAATGCCAAATGTCATCTTTGATATAAGGACAGCAACTAAGAACAGAATAGGGAGGAAGAGCATGAGAAGAAGATCACCATTAAACAGGGACAAGAGCTGGGAGGGAAAGAGAGAGAGAAGGGAAATTGCATGGTAAAGGAAKGAGACTCTCACTGTTATACAAAATTACATATAAGAGGAAGTGAGGGGAAAGGGAAAAAAACAAGAGAGACAAATGAATTACAGTAGATGGGGTAGAGAGAGAAGATGGGAGGGGAGGGAAGGGAAGGGGAGGGGAGGGGAGAGGGGGAAATAGAGGATAGGAAGGGCAGCAGAATATAACAGACACTAGTATGGCAGTATGTAAAAAAGTGGATGTGAAACCGATGTGAATCTGCAATATGTATACGGGATAAAAATGGAAGTTCATAATCTGCTTGAATCAAATGTATGAAATATGATATGTCAAGAGCTTTGTAATGTTTTGAACAACTAATAATAAAAACATAAAATTAAAAAAAGGAGAAAAAAAAGTCTCATTTAGTTGCTGAGGCTGGCTATTATCCTCCTGCCTCAGACTCCTGAATTGCTGGATTATAGGCAGTACTGCTGTACCCACCTTTTACTTTTAAATGAGATTAAGTACTTTTGAAAAAAGTGTAAATTAATATAGTGACAATAATCTAAGGCTTATTAGCATACAACCAAATAATAAAGGGCTAGATAATTCTATTTTGTACTAAAGAAAATCAGGTATTCATCTGTTCTCAAAGATGTCAAGGAAAGAAAAATTCTGAATTCCTGCATGGGTGCTAGACTCTGGCACTATAGCAGAAAAACATAGAAAAAACTGCAGTATATAAATAATTAACAAAATTATTAAGCAAAATAGGTGACAAAGAGAATGAGTTTCACACATATACACACACACACACACATATATATGTGTAGAATGATCTAATTTTTTACCAATAGACTACAAAGAAATATACTAAAACATTATTAGTGGTCATCTCTGAATGGTGAGATTGTGTAATTTTAATTTTCTTGGTGCTAGTATGTAACTTAAATTTTCTATAAGCATTTGCACTCTGTTGTAATTAGACAAATTCAAACAGAAAAAAAAATCACCAGAGAAGCCTGGCCATATGCTTACCTCACTACACTCTTGCTGCATGCCAGTTCATTGATCAGGAAAGCAAGGATTGAGGCTTTCTGTGCTGGAGTGTGAGCCTGAAAAGCTTTGGTCTTCAGACTTTCAGTGAGCTCAGTTTGCCCACAGTGGGCTTCCATAAAAATCTGCAAAATCTCGGACACATTGTCTCTATTCACACCAACATTCAGCAAATGCTCTCCAAGAGCTGTTTTAGCCTATAAAAATTTGGCATTGTTATCAGTACTTATCATAACAATTTCTAACATAAAAAACAGTACGATTAAAAACACTGATTTATATGTTCTAGATATTACTGACAAATAATACACTAGGGCAGAAGTTAGCAGAAGTTTTAAGACATATCTATCAAAGTTTCTTTTACTATAGTTAACTGTCTGAACCTTTTCTCAGGCTTTACCTAGACATTTTATCAGTAATGGCAGGGTGGGGAGGTTCAAAAGTATTATTATTGTTTTCTAGCTTTACAGTGTCATAGGATTTATTGCTTGGTATACTGAATAAAGAGAGGTTTGGAGGAAAAACAAGTACATCTGGAAGCTCCACTCTTTACAATATTATCTAAAGCAAAGCTAACCGGGAATGTATACCTTAATGAGGATTAAGATAAATTTGAAATTATTGAGTATTCACTAAGCAACACAGAGTCTTAATGTGCTGATCTCAAGTGCCCTGATAAGCCTGACCATTATAGTAATTGAGTGAGATAAAGAAAAATTTCAGAAGGCATACAAGAGTTCTAATTGCTTTGTGAATTATGAATTCTGTTTTTGATAAATACCATTTGGGTATTTCCTTAAATCAGCTTGGTCTTTGCCTAAAATGTAGAGGTAAAAAGAGTAATTGAGAATGGGCTACATACCTTAAGCTTTATAACTAGGTTTATACTAATGCAAACCTACATTTAACTTTGAGAGACATTATGTGAAAATAATTAGATCAGTCTATGCAATCTTCTGTTAATATGTTAGCGTTAGCTACAAATGTACTAATACTATAATTGTTTTTAAAAATTTATGTAAATATAAATATATATATATACACATGCACACACACACACATTTTTTTTTTTACCTTGTATCCTGTAATTAGACCTGGATCACATACAGCAGCCGAGAGGAGCCTCACAAGCAAGTCTTGTACTTCACCCATGCTGTCCCCTATATTTAGTAATCCCTCTTGAAGAACACTCAGGTTTGGAACATCAATATTCACATCAAAGCCCAAAACTTTACCAAAGTTTCGTAAGAACTGTACCACCATGAGACAGTCTGAAAATGTACTTCCAGAGAGAACAAGTCCTGGAATACGAGGCAACTCTGGCAAAGGCTGAAAATAAAATAAATAARTAAATAGAATTTAAAATAACTTGAACTTAAAAAGTTATGTTCTATCTTCTGAAGTAAAATATGTTGTTATCTTTCTTAATCTTGTACTAGTAGTTTTCCCTTTGGATGGTAAATTTCCTGGGAGCTTTTCTGCAATCCTCATGGTATTAAGCAGTAAAACACAAGTAACCATCAATATGAACTTAAATCTCTGAGAAAGAGATTAATTTCAATTAACTTACATGCTGAGATGAATTATTGATGTAATTTACTAGAAGTACCATCTTCTTAACTATATGCAAAACAAAATTGATTTCTACTCAAAAGTATATCACATGTTGGTAGCCAAAAGTATTTTGTTTTTTCTAAATTTCTGCTTTTATGTGTCATAGCAATGGTACTTGTTTGTTAAGCAGTATAGAAGAGAAAACACATGAGGTACTGTGGTTGGACTATTTCTTGGCTTTCAAGATGATAAACAATATGGATTCTAATAAACTATGGCTTGAATACAAATTGCTATGTATTAGCTGTATTATATTTGGCAAGTTCCTTAACCTCTTTGTGTATCAGTTTTCTCATCTATAAATAGAGATAAATATTAGCTCAATGTGACAGTGTTGAGGATTAGATGAAACCATATACTTCAAATAATTTACATAAGCAGTTAGCGTAGTAACTGGCATATAGTCAACAAGCTCAACAAAGTTTAGCTACCATCACTAAAGCACCACAAGAGGTTATAAATTATAAATCCTAATTTACTTAAATGTCTATGGGGCATAGGGAAAAGACAGATCTTTCCATGTCTTAATACCTGGAAAGGACCAACAGAAACATGAAAATACTATTTGCTTCTATGATTATTTTTTGGAGATTTTTGCAATGTCTCTACTTAAATTTAAAAAGTTTGCAGCACTCCACATATATATTAAGAACTGTCACTATCAGCACAGAAATGCCAGAAGTTTACTGGTAGCTATCCAGAAAAGGCAAATTGAACTACACTTAGAAATCTACTGCTCTAGATAAAAACTAAAGGCTTTCATAATGGCAGCTCTGACAAAGGAATCAGATGAGAAAACTGGAAAAATTAAAATTATTAATGAAATTGTTACCTTTTGATCTGCTAAGCACATATCTTCATTAGGCTTCTTTAGTTCCTTGGCCATTTCTAATTCTAATCTTCGTTGCTCTAGTTTACGTTCTTTATTTAATCTTTTCTCATCACGTTTTTCTTGCTTCAACCGTTCTTTTTCCTTAAAAAGAAAATCATGCACAAAAAATTATCTTAGCCATTATAAATGATTGGAAAAAAACACCAGTTAAAACTTTAAAGTGATTACAGTATTATTATTTCCATGAACAAAATTCTCTTGGGAAGTTTAGGAATAAAATTTGGACAACAGAAATAATGACTTATTTTGCTTTTCATTATTTTCACCCAAAACCATGTCTCAGAAATTAAAAATAAAATGGGCTGTGGATGTAGCTCAGTGGTAGAATACCCCTGGATTTAATCCCCAGGTGGACACACACACACACACACACACACACACACACACATAGAGTTTAAGAGTATATTCTAGATTTATCCTAAATAATAACAAATTAGTATGTTTCATCCCAGTTTTATTTCTTCTTCCCTCTGAAAACTAATCTTAAAAGAAAAAATTATGAATCCTATGATTAAAGAAATTCAAAAGGTACTTCTTATTTAGGTWTAATTAAAAAAAAAGAAAATGTTTTCTCTGATGTTCAGATGCTAATTCACTATTAGCAGGGAGGGAGGCAGTATGGGGGTAGAAAGGATAAAATAAATCAGACATTATTACCCTATGTGCATATATGATTACATGATTCTACATCATTTACAACCAGAAGAATGAGCAGTTATACTCCATTTATGTATGATGTTTAAAAATACAGTCTACTGTCATATATAATTGATTAGATAAAATAAAAAATAAAATAAACTCTGTGACTTATCATATTTTCTTAAAACCCACCAAAGTATTACATAAAAAAATTCTGTACTTACTTAAAATTAACTATCTTTAGGGCAGTTAATATTATATACATTGTCTCCTAAATCAAAATCAAAATTTTTCATTTGTGAGATAATTATAGATTTTAATAACCTTAAATTAATAGTGCTTTGCAAAAATCCTTATGAAATAACATTTACATTCTGTTGAAAAGTTAACATACATTTGTTTTTAAAGGCACTTGAATTTTAAARTAGAGGGAAGTAAAGGGAGGGAAGGGAGTATGGGGGTAGTGTAAGTACTGTTTTAGTACATTTATTGTATCTCTAACATTTCCTTTTTTGTTTAGTCTATTTTTCTTTCTTCACAGTCTAATAATTAAAGGTCTAAAGGAATTTAAAATTTTAGAATCAACAGTTACACATAAATCATTTAGAATTCTGAACTGTCCTTGCCTAAGTTTCCTAAGGTCTTCAGCTGATAGTAAAGTTTGTTCTTTTCATTAATAATAGGAAAAAAATTACAAATCTGGGATTACTATTAGGTAGTAACAGGTGGCAGAACAGGAAGCCAAAATATGCCCATTATTGACGGAGGAGAAATGATTGGGTTGTGAGCAGTCTTAATCATGGGTAAAAAGCCATTAGTTTGGAATAAAAATAAGACAAAAATTATGAATATAGTATAAGGGGCAAACTGAAAGAGGTAAAAGAGCAGGCAGAGTTCAGAGCATTTGCAATGCTATGCCATGGTGAAGAGTTGGTACTTTAATACAATTATAATTAGGAAAATAGAGAACCTTTTTAAAAATCACTGGCTACTCTGTGGAGAATATATGGAGTTTGAGGAAGGCAACAATAAAAGCAAGGAAACTAGGCTCTTTTATTAAAATTTAAACTAATATTTATGCACATATTTTCCTTATTTTAATTTAATATTTTATCATGGTTGCCATTTCCTTTCAAAATTACTTATATTTGATGTGGGTGGCCCTATTTAGCACCTATATTGCTCTAATGCAGGTGGGTTATTTTTCCTTCGCCCCCCTCACTTGGGCTTTGACAGATTCTTAAAATATCTATTTTTTATTCTTTTCACTTTTTTATTGGTATATTATAGTTGTACATAATGATGAGATTTGTTGTTACATATTTGTACATGTACACAATATAACAACATAATTTGGCCAATATCACTCCCCAGAAGTTACCTGCTCCCCTTCTTCTACCCCATGGTCCCTTTCTTGTACTGATACCTTATTTGTTTGTTTGTTTTGGTACTAGGGATAGAACTCAGGGCTTCACTCATTCTAGGCAAGCACTCTACCACTGAGGTATATCCTCAGCACTCTCCTTTGATTTTCATGAGATCTCCTCCACCACTACCACATTTCTTTTCCTTTTTCCTTTCTAGCTTCCAAATATGAGAGAAAACATACAGCCCTTGACCTTCTGAGTTTAGCTTATTTCACTTAATATAATGGTTTCAAGTTCCATCCATTTTCCTATAATTGAAATATTTAATTTTTCTTTATGGCTGGATACAACTCCATTGTATATACGTGCCAAATTTTCTTTATCCATCCATCTATTGATGGACACCTAGTCTGGTTCCATAGTTTGATTATTGTGAATTGTGCTGTTATAAATATGGGTATGCATATACCACAGTAAGATGACTTTAATAGAATATCTAATTTTAATTAGTTTTACTTATGCTGTAGCTGCCACCCTCCACTCAACCCAGATCTTACCCACCTCTCTGCAGCAGCTTTTCCTACTTTATCCCCAGGTCACAGAGTGTAAATATGAAAAAAACAATGGAAAAGGTCATGTCCTCTGAGACTTTTGAGTGCCTCTTTCATCAAGGTATTTCCTGCCTCAGATGATCTTATTCTTTCTATTTTCTTCTACCAAACAACAGTAGCCTGGAGATAATGCTCTAGGTTATTTTTATTATAATGTCTTTCTTCCTTAGCTTTCCTCTCAACTAGGAAAACCCAGAATGACAAGAAATAAGTCTTCTTACTCCTTATTGTAAAAAAGAAATAGAGAAAGAGGAGGAGGAGGATTAGGAAGAGGAAGAGGAAAAGGAGGAGGACTTCTTATTCCTTCTGGTAAAAAAAGGAAATAGGAAATAAGAAGGGAGGAGGGAGGAGAGGAAGGAAGGAGTGAGGAGGAGGAGACAGAGGTAGGGAAGAATTTACAGGAGTCCCCAACCAAGAATTTATCTCTTAAGGGATTTTCCAGGTCTTTTTCTTGAGCTACTAATTACTCATTCAGTTCCATCTCCAGACTGAAGGAAATTAGGTTGAGCATTCAGGATTTTAATTAATTTCATTCCCTATTTTTCCTACCATGGCACTGCTTCCAGAAGGGAATAAAAAGAGCAGCGATAACTTTCTCTTTTCCTGGACATCATTTTCAGATTATGGTTACAATCCTATGCATAGATGCATAGATTTCATTCTTATGTTAGGTGTAGAGGGACTGGATAATCAACAAGTTAGGGAAAAAAGACATAAGGAAAAATGTCAGAGCATAAATATTAGGAAAGTAACAGAAAGTGACTGCTGGAGAAAATTTAGAAGTAATCTATGGTAGTGATTCCCACCCTGGCTATGCATCTTTCTAGGCYCACTGTACAAAGCAAATACAAATATAGTAACTAACTATAAGTATATTATGTGTCAGGCACTGTTCTAAGAACTTTATACCTATACTAAGATTCATACCCATGTGTACATCATAGCAATTCCTATGAGTTAGGAATTGTTACTGTATCCATTTTGCAGATTAAATAAGTCATGAAAAGTTTAAATAACTTGGATGAGATCATATAGCTAGAAAATACTAAAATCAGAATCTAAATTCAGGTAATCTGACTACCCTGTCCAGGTTCTAAAACAATACATATAATATTGTGTCTACATACCAAAAATCTATCTTAAAAATATGTGCCAGAACTTGAGATGAAAATAATAAAACATAGGGCTTTCAATTCTAGATAAAGCAGTATTGTTTTCCTTAATTTGTTTGTATGTATGTATGTAGGTATGTGAGTATGTATGTATACCAGTGCTGAGGACTGAATTTAGGGCCTCAYACACATTAGACAAGCATTCTACCACCAAGTGACATCCTCAGTCTAATTATCATTTATTAAATATTTATCTCACTTAATGATCCCACAACCCTAAAAGGTAGGTATCATTATTTCAATTTTAAAGAAAAAGTCTGAAAAGGAAAGGCAAATTGGTGTCAAAGTTAGCATGGGAATTTGAATTTTTCAACCTCCAAAATCCTGGTTATAATGGCCATACACCTTTCTCTATTCAACAGTTCTAATGCAGAATGCTTTCCTTTGTAACATATTATTTTAATGTTTAACAGATTTCTATTAAATTCCAGTATATTTGTTTCGACATACTAAATAATTGTCTTTTTCTGAATTATTTTTCTGACATAAAGAATAATTCTGATGGCAGAAGTCCATCAGAATTAGAATTATTGAAGTTTAAATTAGCACACACAAAATTGCCTAGGCATGCTGTAATATTAATTTTGTGACATTCTGGTTACATTAATAAGTAGCTACTTATATCCAAACTAATACCATTCAACACATAAATAATTAAAATCTCAGCCAGAAGAATTAACACATACATTGGAACCCTTTCTATTCTTTTTTAACACTGAATTATAGTGTTACTATATTTAACCTTCAGTGGTTTTATGAAGGCCAGAAAATCAGGACAAACTCATACTCTGAAAAAAATTTATGTTTGGAAGAACTAATGCTTTGGGAAAAAATATTAATTTATAAAATAATGTTTTATACCTTTATTTTTGTGTATTTTGTTTTTTGTTTTGTTTTTTTTTTAAATGTGGTGTTGGGGATCAAACCCAGTGCCTAATGAATGCTAGGCAAGTGCTCTACCACTGAGCCACAACCCCAACTCCAATAAGGTAATTTTTTTTACTAACACTTACTTCTGCTTTTTTACGAGCTTCCATAGCTTTCATAAGCATCATATGTTGTCGTCTTCGCTCACGTTCCTATTAGGCCAGATAAAATTAGAAAACTAACTCAACCATAGTTAATAGTTTGATTTTCAAATGGAAAACAACAACAAAACAACAACAACAACAAAAAAAAAACAACTCAGTATAGCATGTTTAGCATTTATAGACAAGTCACAGTAAATACTAAATATAAGACAAGAATGGCCAGTCTGTGCATGTTTTAGTTCAGGTTTAGAAAGCAAATACAAGAACAATCAAAAGCAAAAAGGTAAAGCAATGAACATGGAGACAGTGTAAACAGAAGCATACAAGATTTACTTATGGTCAGTTGTGATGCTCCTTCAAAAGCTGGCAGAACAAAAAGCATAATGGTTGGCTGGAACAGGTCAGTTACCTTACATCTGCTATTAGAAAAACCACAAATACTTACTATAGCCAATTGAACTAAAGRTTGTATTGTTCTTAAAATTTTTAGATCAGGCAGAAATTGATCTATAATCACTTTCATGTAATGATTTTAGAATTGGTTTTATTCCATGTATAAAATCACTTTAATGATTTAATAATCACCAACAAATTAGAAAGGGTTTTTAAAAAAGCTTTTATAACAATTTATAAAACTAAACTAGTATTAGTTCATACACAAACACAAATAAAATGGGATATTCTATTTACTGATGTCTGCCACTTGATGCACTGTTTAAAACCAGAAAGATTGCACCATGGGCTAATAAGTATAATCTAAAATGTACAGTGCTTACCTAAGGTAAGCACTAGCTTAATTTGATAATCTCATTTTATTTTAAATTAAAAAAATTACAGGTGAATGATGGCTAATTGATTTTTTTCTTTGCAGCACTGGGAATTGAACCCAGAGGTATATCCCAGCCACTTATTTTTTTTTTTTTTTTAAATTTTGAGACAGGGTCTCGCTGAGTTGCTGAGGCTGGCCTCAAACTTGGCAGTTCTCCTGCCTCGAACTCCTGAGTTACTGGGATTACAGGTGTGTGTCAACTGCACCTGCTCTACTTGATTTTTTAGATTAAATATATTTGTAAATATATTAGTATAAATATTTAATATTCTCTCATCAAAAAAACACAAAATTTCCATTGTACTCAATGGTAGTTTTGCATCTAGAATGATGGGAGAATACAGGTTACAACTGTATCTAACTGTACAGTGATCCAACTTTCCCTGTGACATCAGTAATGTATATTTTTAGAGAGAGCCTTACTTAAGACTTATGCAATTCAATGAAAAATCTTGGAGATGTATCATACTTCTTTATAGACAGACAAGCAGATGTATGCAATGCACTGTGCTGTAAAGCCATGCAGCAGTATGTAATATGACAGCAGCCAGTGCTACACTTTATGCATTGCTATGACAACCATATCACAACCAAATCACAATGCGGTGTTAGATGTACAAAAATAAACATACCCATACCATATCTAGTCTATGCCTCTCCAACTCCTGGTAGAAAGAGTTGGCACAACATTATGAAACAGAAATCACAGAGTCATAAAACCAATTTTAACCCCCCCAAAGACACCAATATCAAAGCAAGGCAATAACTACGTGATGAAAGAAAAACTTAAGCAGGAATTATATCAGAAATTTTAAGAAATATTTTGAAGATTTTCCCCCAAATAGATTTAAGCAAAATTATAAAACATACAATTCAACAGTTACATAATCACATGTATACAGACCTGATGCTTCAGAAGAACAGCTTGTTGTCTTCTCATTTCTTTTTCCTTAAAAATAAGAAACTTTTAATATATGAATTCTGGGAAAGATTTAGAACATGCTAAAAAGTATAAAAGTTCCCTTTTCTAAAATTCTATAGTCTTCCATTAGGTTGAACCATACAGAATTGCCAATATTCAATCATGTTTTTTCTTGTAAAATGGCAACTCAATTTCACATAGTTCTATATATTTAACATAAAGACCATATGATGCTGGAGCAAGGATTTCAACTATATATATTTAACATAAAGACCATATGATGCTGGAGCAAGGATTTCAAGTCAATGAATATCCTAACAATACACATCAATGGTGATCTACTGAACTGACTAGATTGTCAGAGCATGAGATACAAAAATCACACATTTTAAAAAAATCATTTTAATACATTATGTTGTAACTCTCAAATTTAGCTGATTAGAATTCTCCCCACTCCAAATATAATCTCCCCAATGTACTTATAATTAACCACAAATATTTATTTTCTATGAATAAAAGTGATAAAGACTTTGGTGATGGATTTCTATACCCACCTATGGTTTACAACACCATCCCAAGGGGACAGGGGTTTAATGCAAATAATTCTAAGAATGTCATCAGTTTCACAATTTTTATAAAGGTAAAATCTGAATGAAATTAATATTAAAAGTAGGCATAAAAGGGGCAGACACGTAAAGAATAAAGTAACAGAGTGTTGAAAAGATAAGAAATAGGAACTAGGGATATACTAGGGATATATAGGGATGATTCTTATCATTTGTAAGGCCCTGGGTTCAACCACAGCACCAATCTTGCCTTCCCACCCCACAAAAAGAAAACAGTTTTCTGGTTGTTTTGAATACTACCAGGTTCACACAGCTGCCCACTTTCAGAATTTAGTTATCTGAAGTAGACAGGTTGGGTGGGGAAAGGAAAGAACATCTCTCTTATACTTCGATAAGTAAATAGTACTTATTAGTAAATAAGAGTTGATAGAATTTTGTTTCTATATGCTTTTCATTTTGGGGCTAGATATTAACAAAGATAAAGTTATATGGGGAGAATCAGATTTGGGACATAGTTTTAAACATAAACATAAATGACACACAAAATCTTTTGGGGAATCATTCTTATCAAGCAAAACTATATACAGGTGTTATGCAATAATTTGCATTTCTGATTTGATGTCTCATATTGAAAGAGCTCAAAGCATTACATAGAACCTGTATAATGGAATAAAAATACACAATGTATACATATAATATACATACAAATAAAAGCACACATTTACACATTGTATCTGCTATAATGTATTTTTAGATAGCCATTCTGAGGAAAGCTTTTTTTTAAAATATATGTATAATTGATGCTGGTAAAACACATAGTTTTTATTTTTTGAAAAATAAAAACTCTGATTCTCATCTAAACTAACCTTTATTCGTTTCTCGGCCTCCAATAATTTGGCATTTGCCGCTTCTTCCTTCTTTTTCTTTTTAGCCTGTGCATGCAAAACAGGTCTCAAAGTCATGCAACAGCACCACTACAACTTGCAAATAATCTCAGACTTGAAATGAAGCTACATGCCTCACAAGGTACAAAACAATATGTAACATATATGTGGACAATTACAGATTTTCCCCATTAATTATATTTCTCATTTATAGATAARCATTAGGATATGCCAAAAATTATTAAATTCATAAGAATATGACAACTTTTCTTACTGTCTACAAACTTCATTAAAAATCTGTAACCACTGAGTATTTGTTATCTTAAAACTTAATTACAGAAAAAATTACTTTGTCATTTTTTGTTTTCTGATTTTAAAACATCTCTAAAAAATTTAGAAAACAGGATATATATTAACTGCTAAATAAAAACTATTTCAAGAATAAATCACAATGGATACATTACTCAGCATTAAAAGAGAATATGCATATGCAGGTAAATGGATGGAGTTGGAGAATATCATGATAAGTGAAATAAGCCAATCCCTAAAAACCAAAGGCCGAATGTTCTCTCTGATAAGTGGATGCTGATCCATAATGGGTGGGGGGGGAGCACATGGGAAAAATGGAGGAACTTTGATGGGGCTAAGGRGATGAAGAAGTAGGGTGGGGGAATGGGGGCAGGCAAGATGATGGAATGAGATGGACATCATTATTCTAGGTACATGTATAACTGCACATATGGTGTGACGCTACATCATGTACAACCAGAGAAATGAAAAGTTGTGTCGCAATTGTGTACAATGAATCAAAATTTATTCTGCTGTCATATATACCTAATTAAAATAAATTAATTAACTAATAAAAAATAAGTATACAGAATAGCAAAATTCATTGTTATCTATTTATGCATGCACACAATAATATAATTTGATCAAAAAATAAAATTCTTTAAAAAAAGAATAAATCAGTAACAATTTTAAAATGCACATGTCTACTTTACTTGAAATTTCTTTTAAAACTTGAAATTTAAGATATAACCACTAAATGAAGCATTAAATCTGTTTCTCCCTATCTCGCATATTGTGGTTAAATTTCAAGTGTTCTTTTCCCCGCCCTTTTTTGTTTTTACAATATCCTTTTTTAAAAAAAWTTATTCATTCATTCATTCATTCTAATTAGGTATATATGACAACAGAATGCATTTTGATTTACTGTATACAAACGCAGCACAACCTTTCATGTCTTTGGTTGTATTCAATGTAGTGTCACACCATATGTCCTCCCCTTTTTCTAACAGGATGGAAACCTATAAATCTTTCATGAAGCACATTTTGGCCATTAACATCATATTATTGGGCTGGGGCTGTAGCTCAGTGGTAGAGCTTGCCTCGCATGTGGGAGGCACTAGGTTTGATCTTYAGTACCACATAAAAATAAATAAATAAAGATATTGTGTCCATCTACAACTACAAAAATTTTAATAAAAGATCATATAAACTTTATAATCTTAAAGTCATTAACTAGATAGTTTCATAACTATCTGGTAGTTAACTTCAATACACTTTAAGATAGAGATATTTTTGATTTAGGAGTTTAAGATTAATTTGAAATGGATTAGAGAACATGTATGTATTTCTAGAAGGGGTAAAAAAACAACAAAAATCTCAGCTATCTGGACCCACAGCAAATAAAGTGGTCTATAAAGCAGTAGTTTCCTGAATAGCTGAGATGTTATAATAATTTTAAGCATTAAAAGTTTATTTGCACTATGTTAGATGGAAATAACCTTGAGACAAATGCCTGTTTAGACACAGTACACTAAACATAATTTGGCTTTTTTTTGATGACTCAGGGCAATTATTTTGAACATCGGTTATTATACTACACAGTTTGATAGAGTAATGCCTTTGGGCTATTAAGGTGTTGAAATTTCTTGCTATTCAACTAAAAGATTACAAACTCTTGCTAGGCTTTTGGGTTCCTGTATATACCAAGATGGAGCTTTTCTCTATTTTCCTTTGCTGTCTTTAGCTACTACTTTTGTTGTTGACAACATGTCTTCTATCTTACCCTAGTAATCTTATAGGGAACCGAGTTATGCTAGAACCAGCAAACCATGCCAGTAAAATTGTTTCTATATTTAAAATTTAATTTTACTTTCAGAATGTTTACTTTTATAAAATGTTTATTTCTATATTGAAAGTAAATATCTGACTATAAACTCTAATAACTTTTCTAAGAGTAAAGAACAAAGGCTTTAGCAAATGAACTTTATGACAACTATATTAGGTGGTCAAAGGTCTTCCTTTTTCTTTTGTCTCATTTCCTAGATTTTTACTTCTAGGATTAGATAAGCTTGCTAAAAAAAGTTCAGGGAAGGTCTTTATGCATTATATTTAAAGATATTTTCTGATGAACATGTTAATTTGTATAGGTGAGAGACATAGGCAATTTTTTAATTTTTTGCAGAGTTATCAAAAAACATGATTATATTACTTTAATCATATTAAATTTAAGAACTCTACCTCTAGAATTTGCTGGGCTCGAAGTTCTTTTTCCATTCTGATTTGCTGTATTCTCTTAATTTTTTCCTGAAGGAAAGATTATAAAAATTTAAGATAATAAAATAAATATTGAGGTAAAAAGTGTTTAACTGGAATCAAATAAGAAAAAAACAGAAAATTATCAAATACTGTCTAGACTGTATATAAAATTTTCAATGATTTATTACAAAATTACATGTTTTTATGTTTTAAATTCATGATTTTAAAAATGTCTCATAATCTATAAAATAAAAATGCTAAATAAATATACAGAAACCAGATAAATAAAGCTGATTAAACTTATATAGCCTGGAAATATTTATAAATATTTGTAACTGCAAATAATAATTAATTTGAAATAAGTACAGGATAGAAAAGCAGAAAAAAATAGTGTCTTCAGAGTCAGAATACATAAACTAGTTCTGGGTTAAAGTTATTAACTGGATGATCTCGAGCAAATAACTATTCATCTATAAACCAGGATAAGGTGCTTGCCCTTTCTTACTGTCACAATTAGATAAAAAATAATTTCCATTCTAAAACTTATAGTTAAATGTTGAACAATATGATATTCCTTTGAACTACTTCAATAAGCCATCTAAAAATAATCTGTAATACTTAAAAAAYGGATTGATATCAATTTAAAAGTCTAAGGAATTGGTTATATAATACAATTGGTATATACAATGTCTAAATTTATGAACTGACTGTGGATTATGTTTTATTTAGTGATCATCTAGATTTTGATAAGAACTTACATTGATTTTTTAAAATTACCTCATATGCTATAAGCATACTGTTATCAATTTCATGCTCATAACTTCCAAGTAAGTCCCAAAATGACACTGATGAGAATAAATGCATAATTTTCAGAACAAAAACACCTGAAATTTTCTACTTCAAATTGTATTTATTCTATAACTTCCAGAGCAAACACATTTTATACTGCTGTATATTATAAAACTTGGTTCATTTTCCAGATGCTAGTTGTGCCTTTTGAAGATATACTTTACTATGTATTTAATTTCTTTTTGGTATACTGATGTTTTATTGATGTCCTACATGGGCCTACTACTTGATAATGAGATTTTAGGAATTAATATTATGATTTCAGAAGACTGATACCCTATGATTTTGCATTTTTATTCTGGTAAGCTAAAATACTTAATACTCTTTTGGTATTAAGTATTTTAGCTTACCAGAATAAAAACCCAAGGGTATCTTTCATGTTATTTACAAGATTTAGAGAAGACTATGTTTGATCCATATCTGATGTATTTATTTGGATTAGAGCTAAGTAAATCATACTCTTGAGCTAATTTTTCTGCTCTTGTCAATTGTAAGATTTTATAGTGGTATGCCCTCAAATAAGCACAAGAATACCACTGTACTCTTGTGCAAAGAGATAGGTAGACAATCTTGGGCTTATGTAATTTGGGGCTTAAGTACATTTAGTCTAAAGTATTATCTTAAATATTCAAGAGATTTATATGTACTATTATTTGGTAGTGCTCTCACCAGGGATGAGAAACACAGGTAGATAAACGTTATTTATGAATTATAATAATAATATAGATTAATCTTATAGTATTGAGCACTTGAAAAAACACTGAGCTGGTCACTTTACATAAAACAACTTGTGATCATTAAAAACAAAGAGAAGTTGAAATTATATTCTTACTATAAAAGAGAAAAACTGAGATTTCCAGAGTGAATACTTTTCCTAATATCRAAAATTTACAATTATCTTACTTTACAACAGATGAAATAGAGAATTAGAGGTTAAGTAGTTCATCCAAGGTCACAAAATTATTATTATTTTTTTGTGGGTATAAAGTTATATCTATAATTTTATTTTTTTTCTTTTTAAATTTTTTATTTGTTTTAATTAGTTACACATGACACTACAATTACCTTGACATATCATACATTTGAATCACATGGGATATAATTTCTCATTTTTCTGAGTGTACAGTTTGCAGAATCATACTGGTCATGCAGTCACATATATACACACAGTAATAAAATGTCTATTTCATTCTATTATCCCTTCCTATCCCCCCCATCCCCTCCCCTCCCCTCCCATCACTTCTCTCTACCTAATCTAAGGTAATGATATTCTTTTTTTTCTCACATCTTCATACATGTATTTTGTATAACGATGAGGGTCTCCTTCCACCATCTATGCAATTCCCCTTCTCCTTCCCTTTCCCTGTCACCTCTCTTCCCTATCTAGAGGTAATCTTCTTCCCATGCTCTTCCTCCCTACCCCATTTTGAGTCACTCCCCTTATATCAGAGAAGACATTTGGCATTTGTTTTTTGGGGATTAGCTAACTTCACTTAGCTTAATCTGCTCAAATGCCATCCATTTCCCTGCAAATGCCATGATCTTGTTTTTTTTTTAGTGCTGAGTAATATTCCATTGTGTATAAATGCCACATTTTTTAATCCATTCATCCATCGAAAGGCATCTAGGTTGGCTTCACAATCTAGCTACTGTGAATTGTGCTGCTATAAACATTGATGTGGCTGTATCCCTGTAGTATGCTGTTTTTAGGTCTTTGGGTATAGCCAAAGTCACAAAATTATTAAGTAGCTGAGCCTATATTTCAGTCTAGGTTGCCCAAATCTCTAAACTCCAAAATTCTAAAACCCAACTCTGTATCAACTATCTCTAGTCACATTAGTCAATTCTTCAGGGAACCTTAGAAATAATTACATTAAATCCAACCCAAGTCATGTATTTAGCAGCTATTTACAGAGTAACACAGTTGATTTCATTTCATACTTGGAAATAACTAACATTTAAAATTTCTTAAAGAATAATACTTTGCTACTATTTCCTCTCTGTTTCAATGTTACATGAGTTTGTGGAGATGGAAGACTAGTTTATGCATTCAATCTTAAATGAAGCCGAATACCTTATCATTTAATATTGTACCTATAAGGATTTTAAAATTATTTCATTTGCTCAATCATAGTCTGAAGACCACATAGAGGAGGGATACTACAGATAAAGAAATTCTGGATRTACTAAAATAATGCTTTCATTGTTTTTGTGCAGTAGCAAGTTTTAAGTAATTTTTAAGCATTCAGAAGGGTAAACTTTATCATATATAACTTGAATTTAATTTTTTCTAATATTTTACATGTTTTAGAACAACCAACTTTCCTTATTAAAATGTGAATGTTCAAGCAATACCTTTCATTTACCACTACATAAATTTAAAAAGCCTTCAATTGTTCAGGACGTCCACTTATACTCAAAGTACTAAGATACTAAAATACTTACATAAATTTTCTGTTTGCTAATATTTTTTGCTATTTTTTGTTTCTTTGTTTATTTGTTTTGTGGTACTAGTGATTAAATCCAAGGGTGCTCTACCACTGACCTACATCTCCATCCCTTTTTAAACATGAGACAGTGTCTCACTAAGTTGCTGAGGCTAACATTGAACTTGTAGTCCTCCTGCCTCAAGGCTCCTGAGTTGCTGGGATTATAGGCATGCACCATCATGCTAGCTCGTAATCATTAAAAAAAAAAAAAAAAGAAAGAAAACAACTTAGAAATATAGAGGTAGCGCACTTGCTGTGCATGCATAAAGCCCTGGGTTCAATTCCCAGCACTGCAAGGAAAACCTCAAAACAAAACAAAACCTTGAAAGAAGACGACTTGATTTTAAAATGAGGTGAAATTTTAACTAATGGAAGGTGACAACTTTCTAAATAGAACACATAACAATGTGAAGTAGTTATTAAAAAACATCAAAATCAAAATAATGTACTTATTTAGATCCTCCAAATAAGGACCATGTTCTAAAAGTTCAATGCATGAACATACCTGTTGTTTCATAATCTTTATCTGTTCTTTTTGCTTTCGTTTCTCCTCAGCAGCCATTATTGCTATGAGAAACCAAAGTACAGATTATTATCAGATGAGCAAAGAAGAAGCCTTTTATGAACTCCCCAACACTCACTTTTCAAATTCATGCCATCATTTATATCACCCACCTTGTTGTTTTTTAGCTTCTTTAGCAACCCGAGCCTGTTCCTGCTTTTGAAGTTTTCTCAAAAGCTTTATTTGTGCTGCTTGCCTGGCTATTTCTGAAAAACAAAAAATTTCAGAAAACATTACTAACAACTTCACATGACTGCAAACCTAAAATGCTAACTGTGAAATTAGTACTGTATCATCATAAAGGGTATAATATTTAAGAAAACTGCTTATGGTTAAAAGGTACCAAGTAGGAGAGTAGTGTAGTAGAAAATGTCATGGTCATTGTTCTTAGAAATTGCCAAAATTATAGGTTAAGAACAATAATTAGATTTCAATTGTAAAACAACAAAATACATAAAAAGAAATACCCTCAAATAAAACAGACTCTCTTCTCCAAACTTATATTTCAATGAGCTATACTAATGGTTAAATCCTTAAATCAGTGATATTCTTACTTATGAGAAAGAGAGACTAAATCTTCTATAATCAATAATTTTAAGGACAATTTACTTCTCATAATTTCCAAGAAAAAATGTATGAACTTGGGTGGTAGAAAGGCATAAATAATGGCCCCAATTCTTCATTCCTCCCTTTAAATATGTTTTTCATAATGTGACATTGTAGCAACTTCCATCAAGAAATGGAATGTATTTTGTCCCTTGATTCTGAATTCATCTATGGTCAAGAGATTAGCAGCTGTAATGAAAGYAGAACCTGAAAGTGTATTTGTGCTCTTTCTACTTTTGCTCTTGTGCCTTGCCCATTACTATAAGGACATATTTGGTTTAGGCTGCTAGAGAATGAGACTGACCCCACACGTGTTATGAAGTCCAGCCAAGGTCAGCAAAGCTGTTCAGTTAGCTTACAACTGATTCAACTTGCACCAGCAATTAACACTTAGCATTATATGCTCCTGAGGTTTGATGATTATTTGTTAACCAACATTAATGGGGCAATAGGTATAAAGGCTATGAAATGTTACTGCTTTTCTGTGTTGGCAAACAGTCTGCATACTTCTAACTCTAGAAGTGGTGTATCATGATATCATTCTAGAAAGCACCACTTTAACACACCCACCACAGGAACTAAGCAATCCAGACTTTGGGAATGGTACCAGGAGATCAGAAATGACTAAGTGAATTACAACTCCAACAGAGAACATGTAGAATGCAGACTTTGAATCACCTCTTTAAAAGACCCCTGTTCCTGCTGATGGACAGAATCATAGCCTCTGGAACAGGCTGTGTTTATCCTTTGTTAACAAAGCAATAAAACTTCTGTATAGCATCCCTATACAGAAGACATTGTTTCAAACATTGTATCTGAGGAACAATATAAGGAACCTATAAAACTATACTCATCAATAATGAGTATGCATGATTGCTAGCTCCTAAATCACTTGAGCTCTATCAATTTCCACCACTTAGTGAATGCAAGCATTGTTGTGTTAAGTTTACATGATCTTCACAACTACTTTATGAAATAAGCAATGCTGTACCCAGGTTATAAATAAAATACCTAAGGCTCACAGAAGTTAAATAGCAGAAACAACATATAAACCCAGTTCTGTMTTTTCAGCTCCACAGTCTATCTGCTAGTACTTCTAAAAATCTTTAAGCAATATTTGAATGCCTTGAGATTTTAACTAAGAATGTAATTGCATATTCTTGTAATAAATGGTTGCTTGCTATGGATAATTTTCTGTCATGAACATTTAAAAAAAGGTGAGGAAAAGTAAAGGGTATAAGTTTATCTTGTAAACTGGAAATGTTGATGAAAGACAAAAATGAAGCTAATGCTACTAAAGTATGTCTCCCAATATTCCAATAATTTCAACATTGAGGAAGCATAGACATTATCAAAAATTTCTGGGTCACACAAAAAGATCTCCTATATATTAAATACTTTCAAGGGAAAAAAAGCCTCTACCCTTGCAGGCATACTCAGCAACCTCTAATAATATTCTTGAAGAATATCATCTCATCTATAATAATATCAGATAAACACTTCCTTCAACATTTAAGAATTGAAATGAACCCTATTGAACTCCACTATAAAGGCCTGGAGATGTGCTAAATGATTTTAAAAACATTTCCTGGAAAATGTGACATAAATATAGTCTTTTGTTCCCCTAAAAGAAGCTGACTTTTAATAAAGAAATTCTGTTTTATATGTGTGTGTGTGTGTATATATATATATATATATATATATATACACACATGTATATATGTATGTTTGTGTATCAGTGTATCAGTAAACTTCAAGCTTCATAGAAGTACATAGTAATTTTTATTTGTAAGCCCTGTGGACAGAAAAACATCAAAAAATCTACCTCATATCTTTTCACTTTAGCAAGAAATATACAATTTGAGTAATCATTAAAATTTATATAGCTTAAATTTTACATTTTGAGCAGCTGGAGGGGAAAATGTGAAAAGAAGAAGAAAAAAAACCTAGAGATACTATGGAGCAAAGAGAATGAGTTAGAGATGCAGAAAAATTCACCTAGGTAGTGGGGAATAAATTGCTCCCATTATCTACTCATTTATTTGGCWTGTGGTTGCTGAATATGTTACAATTAACATTTGAAATGTTAATCTAAAAAATATCTTTWATGATTTAAGAAATCACATACTGCTTTAATTTCAAAGATAAAAGTTAATTTTTGAAATAATGTTTATTATCACTGAATTAGGGATCTTTTAGACAGAACTGATGTCTTTGGTTTTAAGATACATTTTAACATCTCTAAAATAATCGATGTGTTAGATAACTGGCAGCATTTTATCTTCTTATAGCTATATAATAAAATAATGGTACATTGTATACACTATATGATATCTCATGTTCTATGACATAAAAAGGACAGGTGCTATTGGATAGTTTGGAAAAATTGAAATTTAACAGTATTCATCAATTAATAAGCAGGTTTATTTATACAAACTAAAAGTGATTCATTCTTGTTTTCTGCCGCAGTCCGGCTGCAGCAAAATAACTGGGGGGTGACGAGCAACTTGTGTACATTGATACAGCAGGAGTGGGAGCCCTTTATTGTAGGACAGGAGGGGTATATATACATTCCACACAGCTTATCTTAATTAACATAAACTAGATACAGCAGTCAACCAATAAGAAATCTCCACACTTAATGGCTCACTGGYGCCACCTCACAAACAACTCCCCCTGGCAAAATGCCAGGCGCCATTCTGACTTGTTTACAGACTCTAACATTTTCTTTTCAACCCAGGAAAAAAACATGAACACTATACACCATCCAGTTATAAAAATGATTAATAATTATTTATTGTTAAATATTCAATCCTTACATACATGATGAGAAAGAACATATATATACAGTTACTTCAAAATTTACAGAAATTGCAAAGTTAACCCATGGCAATGGGGGAGAAGTATGTAATAGACTAAAAATCAATTTGAAAGCTAGAAGGAGAATAAAATATTGGGTAAAAGTAGATTAACTTCTATTGTGTTACAATAAAAACATAGTTAATTTTGCAAATTTATATTTGCYATTTCAGATATAATGATACTTATGTTGGATATACAAAGAGCCCATGTTTTAGCTATCAGTTAATTTTGAGGACTTATTTTATGCAAACAATACATACATTTAACCATTATGCATTTTTCAGAAGAATTAATGGATTATTGAGAATATTACATTTTTAAATTTATGTATGTTAATATATCCATTTTTTTAATCATTACTGACAGCTACCTGGCAGAGATGAAAGTCTTACAAAAAAAAACCCAAATAAAGTAAAAACTAAAAAAAAAATTTGACTAACATATTAAGGTATGTTAAAATTTACAGGATATTAAGTTATATGGTAGGTTGTTAACTTACATACTATTGGTCAAAGTTTGAATTGGTATAGCCTTTTTAGAGACAATACTTGCCTGCTATCTACCAAAATTAGAAATGGAATGTGCAGTACATGTTTAAGTAAACATGATTTATATGTTTATTTTGTGCAATATATATTTATTAAGACACTGTGATAGAAAGGATTCATTGAAGAGACTGGTTTAATGAAGTATAGTAGAGCTACACGTGGCATCATTCACTACTCAGTGATTAAAAGACAGATTGGTTGGTTTGTAAGCGCTAATACAGGTTTGTAAGCGCTAATACAGGTTTGTAAGCGCTAATACAGAAAGATTCAAGATAAATGGGAAAAGAACAAGCTGAATAGTATGACATTATAAGTATATTTATTTTAGAAATCAAGAAGGATGTAAATATGTTCGAATGTATGTCTGAATATGTGTGTACACATTCTAGAGAGTTTTTTTTAAAAACCCTCCTAATGATTCCACTAATGAGGAAGAGTAAGTGTCTTTYGTTTTACAGCATTCTGTTCTATGAGCTTTTTTCATAGATACTTTGTTTTAAAATAAAAACAAATATGCCAATATTATGGTGGTGTTTACAATAAATAGAAATAAATATTTCAGGCATTTCCTCCAGATTTTGATGTTTATTTATAGAGAAAGTAAAAGAATTAAATTTATGTTAGTCTTTTAAAGTAATTTTTCTTTATTAAACCTTTGTTTTACATTATCTTATGTCTTTATGTGTATGCTTGCAAATAAAAGTTATCTATACATGTTTCTATGTTCAGGCAACTTTAAAAGCCTTCACATTTGTAAACAGTAACTAAATGCCATATCAGAACTATTTTTTATTCAGCCTTCTCTGTGTTATATGTAGCATGGCTTTGTTTTGATAATTTATGTATAATTTTGAATTATGAATATATCTTAGGTTATTATGAGCACTTTCAGTTTGATAAATGATACATTCTGGTGATATTAAAATACTTTTTCATATAGTTCTATTAATTGAGCATTTTGAAAATATATATTATATCCAAACTATAGGAGAACCCAAACTAAAAGACTGGTTTACTTACCAGTAATTGGAGTTCTCTGACTGAAAATTTATTCCACAGATCCACATATTTTGGAGTAATTCTCATGTACCACCTCAAGGAATCGGGAGCTGTTAAAAGGAGAATTTCCAGAAGGTTGGCACGACCTTAAGGCAAGTGCCAAGTGCTGGTTGATTCCCTTTCTGTGCAAGCCTTAACAGCTTAACACCCACATTTGTAATTCTAAACACATGGGATAGGATGTGTTTATAAGTATGGCTCTTGAAAAATTAAATCAAAGAACTCCAGTTACCAGTGGGACTCCTTATTTTCTCATTTATTCTAACACAAATATCTATTATTTAGAAACTGAGAATAGTGTCATTCATTCCTAAGTATAAAAATGTAAAAAATATGTTTAGCATAATTTTTAGTATAATTAGCACAGTGTTACGTGCATTACATTTCTTACCTTGAGCCTGCAATTTTCTTAGCAATTTGGCATCTGTGTTATCTAGGAATTCTGCACTGCCAACATTTGGAGGTCGACCCTTCCGACGTTTCATCCTGGATTCCTCTCTTGCTCGCTGTCTATCTGGATTTGGTGGTCTTCCTCTACGACCTTCCATTGCCCTGATTCGAGGAATGACATCCTCTTCTTTCAAAAGACACCACTGCATTCCCTTTTAATTAACATTTAATAGAAATAATATATTACAAATACAATAAAAATGAGAGATCAATATGTCAGAAAATTCTAGGTAAATATTTTGAAATTTATAAAGCTTATACACATTTTAGCAATTTTATTTTTTAAAATAAATTTAGATTTATAATTATGACTTTGGCATGGTTTTAGTATTCCTACTTAAATAACAATCTTTATTAATTAATGTATACATTTGCATCTATATCTGTAAACATAGAGAAATATATCCTTTTTCTCCCCTTTTCCAAGTCCTGGGGATTGGATTCAGAGCCTCACACATACTAGGTAAGTACTCTACCAATGAACTACATCCCAAGACCTTTAAATTGCCCATGCTGATTTCAAACTTGTAACCCTCCTGCCTCAGCTTTCCCAGCAGCTGGGATTACAGGCATGTTTCACTAGGCCTGGCTTAGAGGTATTCCTTAGTCACCTTTTCTGAACTATAACAACCATAAAGTTGACAGACATTTGAAAATATTAGTGATGRCCACCCTTGGATTGTTCTTGTGGGTAATCAGTTCAAACAAAAGCTACCCAAAAAATAGATGAATGTTCTCTTTACAGGAATATTATAGCTAATAAATGAAGACAGGAAATAAGAGAATATAAACATTTTGTAATACTTAATGAATTAATGTATCCAAACATTGAACTTGAATGCATGCTTATCACCCAAAAGAGAGACAACCAGACCATGTTAGCCTCATAATGAAGGCTCACACTATCATCTATAAAGTCTTACCCCTAAAATCAAAACTGCATTTGATCAAGCCTCTAKATTTAATTACTATAAGTTTAAAGAAAGACAACTGAGAGATATCTTTTACACTAACTATACAGCAAATTCTACAAATGACCTAATTTCTTCAACAATTATGAGAAGAAAAAGATCTGTGGGAAGATTAAATTAAAAGATGTACTAAACAATTCCAATGTGGACCTTACTTAGATATTGATTCAAATAAACAAACTGTTAGGAAAATTTTAGCAAAACGATTGAAAATTTTAATAATGACATTTGATGATATCAAGAAATTACTAGTCATGTGTTAATGAAAGGAATATTGTTCTGAGAAATATGTCCATAGGTGATTTGGTCATTTTGAGTAAAATATACATAAATATATGGTATAACTAACTATACATCTAAGGCATATGATATATACAAGCTTATATATATGATATAAGCTTGATATACATGTACGTGTGTGTGGGTATGTGTGTGTAGCATATTGTTTCTGGGGCCATAATGAACAAAATAACACGAAATTAAATCAAGAATAAGAGAAAATGATGCAATTAAGAGGTGAGGTAAAAATGATATGTGTAAGGGTGTCAGTGAAACAAGGGATAATATATTACACTAAATCTTTTTATAAGCAGGAGTATTCTATAAAATGACAATAAAAAGTATAGTAAATGCTCACCAGTAACATAATAATATATTATTCTATTAATATTATGCATTTTGTACAATTGTATGTGTCATTCTTTCAAATAATTGGCAGCACAAGTTTGTTTGCATCATCATCACCACAAATGCATGATTAATGAGTTATGCTCTAATGCTATAATGGCTACAATGCTACTAGGTGAGAGAAATTTTTCAGCTCCATTATAATCTTATGGGACCACTGCAGGACTGGTGGTCCAYTGATTGGAAACATAGTTATTTGGCACATGACTATATTTCAAAGCATGATAATGATACTGTGGTTATGTATGAAAAAAGAGTCCTTATCTTTTAGAAATAAAAATGAAAAATTAACAGATAAGATGTATGATTTGCTTCACAAAAAAGAACTTGAACAGCCAAAGCAATCCAGAATAAAAAGAACAATGCTGGATGCWTCATAATACCTGGTTTTAAAACATACAATAGAAGCATAATTACAAAAACAGCATGGCATTGACATAAAAACAGATATGTCCTAAAGGTATAGACTAAAGGACCCAGGAATAAACTCACTTATCTATAGTCATCCAATTTCACAAAGGTGCCAAAAACATAGTTTGGAGACATGACGGCCTCTTCAACAAATGGTGCAAGAAAAATGGGATATCCGAGTGTAGAATATTGAAACTAGATTGTTCTCACCCTATATAAAAATCAACTCAAAATGGATCAAATACTTTAATTTTAGATCTGGAGGAAAACAGGGGAAACACTTCAAAATGCTGGCACAGGCAACTATTTTGCTCAGGAAATAAAAGTAAGAACTGACAAATGGGATTACATAAAATTAAAAAGCTTCTGCACAACAGAATGAAGAGACAATCTACAGAATGGGACAAAGTCTTTACTAGCTACATATCTGACAGAGGATTAGTACCCAGAATATATATTCAAAAAAAACTTCAAAAAGTTAACAAGAACTATTAATAACAACCAATACATAAACAAATGATATGAACAGAGAATTCTCAAAAGAAAAAGTGCAAATGACCAAAAGTTGTTTAAAAAAATGTTCAATGGCTTAGGCCACCAGGGAAATGTGAATTAAAACTTCACTGAGATTCCATTTCATCTCAGTAAGAATACTGACTATTAAAAAAAAAAAAAGTAACAAATGTAGGACAGGAGTGTGAAGGAAAATAGCAAGGTGCAGCATTGCACGCCTGTAATCCCAGTGGCTCAGGAGGCTGAGGCAGGAGGATTAAGAGTTCAAAGCCAGCCTCAGCAAAATCGAGGTGCTAAGCAACTCAGTGAGACCATGTCTATAAATTACAAAATAGGGCTGGGGATGCGGCKCAGTGGTTCACTGCTCTTGAGTTCAATCCCTAGTACCCCTGCCTGCGAAAGAAAGGAAATCCTCACTTTGTTGATGGGAACGATAATTACTATAGTCACTATAGAAAACAGTGTGAAGGTTCCTAAAAAAACTAAAAATAGATCTACTACCTAGATCTATAACACTCCTGGGGAAATGAAGTCAGCACACAAAAGAGATACTCACATGCCCATGTTTATTATGGCAATATTCACAATAGCTAAGGTATGGAAYCAATTTAGTTGCTCCTCAAAAGATAAACAGATTAAAAAATATATGGTACATATACAGAATGGAGTATTATTTAGCCAGAAAGAAGAATAAAATAATGTCATTTGCAGGAAGATGGATGGAATTGGAGGTTATCACAATAAGCAAAATTAGCCAGACAGAAAGTATTGGGCCAGGCACACATTTATAATATTAGCTACTTGGGAGGCTTAGGCAGGAGGATCACAAGTTCAAGGCCAGCCTCAACAACTTAGCAATACCCTCAGCAACTTAGAGAGATCCTGTCTCAAAATAAAATACACTTGAGATGTAGCTCAGTAGTAAAACACCCCTGGGTTCAATCCCTAGTTAAAAAAAAGGAATACATGTTTCTTCTTATATGTGGAAACCCCAAAAAACAAAAACAGAGAGAAAGGTAACTGGAAATAGAAGACAACCTAAGGGAAGAGAATGGGGTAAAAGAGGGTGATAGGGAGGGCGGATACAATCAAATAATGACACATGCATGTATGGAAATACATCACACAGCGAAACACATTAATTGTACAATTAATATGATCAAAAATATAAAGAAAATCTTTGTTGTTTTCAATTTTACTTAACAAATTTTTAAAGTGGAGAAGGAGATAGGGCTATTTGTAAAATAATATTCATCATAATGACAAATAGTAAAGCTGATGATAAATACATGGTACATATTATTCTAGGTACTTTTGTGCATATTTGAGGTTTCTCCTTATCCTCCACCTTCTGGAGCACACACAGCAACAAAATACAGCTGTACTATAAAAATAATTCAATTTAGTGCTAAACACAATCTGAGTCAGGTTTTCAAATATCCTGTATATGTTAATCAAAATAAAAATATATGTTTCATTACCTCACTTACAGTCTTAAATAATGTGTTCAGATACAGAAGAGGTACCCTTTTAAATAACTGACTTATTTCTTACTTTTCTTTTTAAAGAGTGAATTCCTTTAGTGTATAGTTTAAGAAGAAATTTAAATGTACTTTTCTCTTAAAAGAACCTTAAAGTAGGAATTTTTCGTAAACATTGGAAGCAATTTAAAATAATCAAAAGTTCTTGAGTTTTATTTTATGTGATGATTACTAACCTTAGGCAAAGATTCTATGTATCTATATCTTAGTTAAAAGTTACTAAAAATACAAATACTATTACTTGCTACCCCAATAGAAAAGAGTTAAAAAATCTATATTCTAAGTACTATATTTTGTTTTAGGCATTTGAGTACATTATATATCTTAATCTTCACAACATTCCTAACTAATACAGTAGGTTTTATTGACCTTGTATTACAATAGAAAGAATTCAAGCCCAATGAGGTACACAGACAGCAAGAAACAGAACTGTGATTCAAATCCAAAACTGTCTCATTCTGATACTACATGCTCTTGTATTACATGTACAAGATGTACAAAGATGTTACAAAGGTGTTATTATACTCAATAAGTGACTGATCAAAATATTCTGTCTTGAAAGCACATCCAAGATTATATCTAGAAAAGACTGTCAGAAAAAATTTAATGCATATAGTCCACATCTATGTGCATAAATTAAACCTATATTAACTCCATTCAGTAATTCTTTTTTTAATATTTATTTTTTAGAAGTAGTTGAACACAGTACCTTTATTTTATTTATTTATTTTTATGTGGTGCTGAGGATCGAACCCAGGGCCTTGCACGTGCTAGATGAGCGCTCTACCACTGAGCCACAATCCCAGCCCCTCCCTTCAGTAATTCTCTTGCTAAAATTGTAAAAATTATGAAAATTTTTTTCTAAGTATTCAAATGAAGTAAATAGGTTCAACAGTTGTATCAAGTGCAAAGAAAACCTTTGGAACAGTTTTATGATAGGGCAAGTTATGTTCACCAGCAAGGGAAGCTTTTAATTAGTTTAGGTTTTCATTTTCTATTGTGCTCTTAGAAACCAAGGCCGCATGTACC